TACATTTTGAGTAAACAACCACCACCATGATGACTATTACCACCATCCAGATCCTGATTCTTTCACCTTAATAACAATCATCATGAACATGGTAAAATTATCCACCCTCCCCGTTAAAAGGTTGGTATGAGTTTTGTATTAACTATGAATACAGAACGGAAACTAAAACTTGACTACAATTTCCTGTTTCATTTATTCAACATTTCTATCTATGATCGTTTAATAATAATCATATTATTATTCAGAAATCATCCTCATGAAATCAACTCATGGCTTCAAGATACATAGAAACTTTTAAAACGTGAATAGATAGCATTTCAATATCATGAAAGGAGTAAAAAAATATATATAACCATTCACCTTGACCAGAATTTTTCAGAATTTCTTCAATTGGAAACTCATTCTTTGAATTCTTATCTTCATCATGATTATTATTAATATTTTATATTGGAATAGAAAGAAAATTTATCCCCACATTTATCTTTCTCTTCATGATAATAATTTTGAATTCTCATGATTCATGAATAGTTAATACGTAAAAGTTGAGATGAAATTTTCATTTGTTGTTGTTTTTTTTATTCTTGAATCTTTCGTTCATTCAGTTACTTACCATGAATTTTGTTTCTCCATGGTTCATATTATCATGTAGTATGATGATTCTTGTTTTTGTAATACTTTAATTTTGATCACCATGAAATTTCATGAGATTTTTGCTCTGTCAAAAAACTGAGACTCTCAATAGTTGAACTTTTGATAGATATGAATAAACTTCATGGGGAATGATAATTTTTTTTACAAGAAATTGGGTTATCTTGATGATTATTATCATTTTGTTAATATTATCGTTTTAATCATCATCAATGATCAATTGAATTGATTATGATGATTAAGTTGAATTGATGAAGAAACTGAAAAAATTCAAGTTCCAAATGTAATGTTAATGTTTTTTTTTCTTTTACTTTTTAGAAAAAATTTTGAAACTTTTTTTCCTTTTCTCCCATCGGAAGGCAATAGAAGATGATGAAGACTAGTAGGATGTAGATGACGAGGATGATGATGATGAGATGATAATTCTGAATGACAACTGATTGATTCTCATGAGTAGTTAGACTGAAATGTCGTGATGATTAGGGTAATTTAAATGATCTACATGAAGGGTTAGTGGGAGGAAGTTGATTATCATTGTAAATTTGGACCTTGGAATTGAGATTTTCTGTTTCTATTAATATTATTATTATTGATTCTCATGTTTGGAAAGAGTGAATCTGAAAGATGAGGATGAAACTGATGAGGATAAAGATGATAATGATAAACTATCAATAAGATTGATAGTTAAATGGATTGATAAAGGTAATAGTTTAGTGGAAAACGGAATCAAGGTAAATGAATGAGGAGAGAGATGATGAAAATGATGATGATAAGTGAAAGATAATGATGATAAGATGAAAAGGGGAAAAGGGGAAAGAGCCTGATATCTTAAGGGTGGTTTATGGAAAGGTAAAGAGGAGAGGAGAGAGAGTATTATATGAGTGAGTTGATCGATATTGATTGAATTTGATGATGATAAGCACTTTTTGTAGTCCATTTTTTTTTGGGTTAAATACCAGGAAATTTAAAGAGATAGAGAAAAGATAATGATGATAAAGATGATGATCGAAATAGATGAAAAAAGAGGGCGGAAGATGAAGAGAAGATGAAAACTTGGTGGAAAATTATTTACTCACATTCCGAGAATTCAGAATCGTTTTTCTGTCTAACGATAATCATGATAAGACTCAGGTAATGATAGGAATTGATGATGATCATCATCTTCTTCGTCCATCATCATGATTATGAAGATAAAAGTAAGTAAGAGATGGAAGAACATGAATGATGTTCATTGATGGAAAAGAGAAAGAGAGAGAGATAAAGAGAAAAATTCAGACTGAATTTCGAAAAGAATTTTTTTTCTCTTCTCTTCGTCTTCTTTTCGTATCCATTCACTTATATTGCAATTAATTCTCAATGACCAGTGAACAATTAATCAATTGTTACTTTTGATTTAATTTAAATGTATCATATTAATTACAATTGAATAATTTTTCGATTTAATAAAAGTTAATTAACTTTTTTTTCTTTTTCTCTTTTTTCTCAACTTTCTCACCTCAGTTAATCTTGTTCCCTTTTTAATTCATCACTTTTCTGTGGTAACACATGGATTATGAACACTGTAAGATAATTAAGATTAATGATTTTCTATCCGTTTAATTATTGTGAAAGTTTCTCAATTAGTTTGATAGAAAATTTAAAAAAATTATTCGAACTCGACTGTTGCGCCATCTTGTGATTCTCAATGGAAGTAACTTTTCCCTTCGTAAAGTTAATTGATTTGGACAATCTTAATGATTTAAATTGTATTGAGATAATGGAAATTGATTATATATTTTGATTGTTGTTCTCATCGAATGATTTGAATTTTTTGAACTAATTTCTAGAAAGTAAATGTAACTTACCTTCGATACAATAGACTGTGTGTCCATCTTTGATTATTATGATAATCTTGTTTTCCGATTGTCTTTCAATGGTCACTCGAGTTCGATTTCTCATTCGAAGTCGAGCAATTCTTTCCTTATATTCCAGGTCAACATTGTTATTAGTCCACAATTGGCGTTCCTTTATCTTCAGGGATTCACTTAGATCGGTATAAGTTTTAAGAACTGAAAGTATATCTTCATCCAGGGAGAGCCAAAAGTTTTCTGATCCCAATCTATTTAAACGGCACAAGGAACATCTCATTGTCCCAATGGACCCAGTGAAAGATGATTTAGATAATTGTGAGATCATTAATTGCGTTTGATAAGCTGACATTGAATTTGACAATCGACGAGAAACCAAGTGACCATTGGACTCGCTTTCAGTTAAATCAGTGTCACTTTCAACTGTTGATAAACTACTCAAACTAATATTGTCCAAAGAGTTTAGGACGAAATCATTTCCGTTGGATTTAGTTGATTCATTGTTTAGATTATGATTGTCACAATTTTCTGATTCATTATTGGTTCCATAAGTGCTTTCATTACTTCCAGTTTCATTGTTACCTTTAGATGACACATGATTATCAATGGAAGATGATGAGGATGAGGATGAGGAGGATAAGGGTGATGTTGATTGTCTTTCCGGTTGTAAAATTGGTTTCATTAAATCATCAGCATCTTCTTGTTGGTGTTGTTGTTGAAAAGTTTTATCTTCAAGTGATAATCGGATATATGGATCAGTTGATTGTCCATTTTCTGGAGGATCGAAAAATTTACCTTCCATTTTATCATCATCTTCACTCTTCCGGTTTCTCAGAGTCTCATTCTCATCATTATTATCATCATGTTGACATTTTCCTTGTATCATTTCTGGTGTTATAACATTTATTGGATTAGATAAATTTTCACCATTTTCTTTATTCTTATTGATTGTTTCAGATGATTTTCTTTCCTCCACAATTAAGATTGGTACTTCTTTCGAGTCATTGTTAATATTATCATCGATCATCGTTGACGTTGATTCGATTGGTAATAATTCAACGGATGTTGTGAATTCAGAACTGGTCAGTTTTCGTTGGTCATCTTCGTTATCGAAACACATTCTTACCGTTTCATTGATCTCCGCCATGGTTACGTGTTTAGAGGTCGATGGTTCGAGTTCTGGAATCGATTCACTTTCACTGTCTTCCTTTTTGGTCAAGGGTTGAGGTGAAACACTGGACATTACTTTCTGTCGCCATATTGGTAATTGATTGTTACTCAATTTAATTGTTTCTGTTGATCTTTTACCATTACAACACAAAGGACATTGAAGTGATTCATTATACAATTGTTGGTGTGATCTATTGGTACAAATTGATTGTTGACCACTAGTGGTCACTCTACTTTTAACATGATCTTTCCATAGATTTGGACTCTGATAGTGACCAATTTTTTTTGGAACAAAAATTTCACTTTCATCTTTCACTTTACTTTCATTTACTTTTCCAAATTTCGGGAAAAAACTTTTCTCACAATTTAAAGGTGAACTGACCAATCGACAATTCCAACATTGACCAATATTCTCAATTAAATAACCATCACAAGTCTCAATTGAAGGTAATTCTCTTTGACTACAAGAAACAATAGTTCCCATTTTGATTCTTTACCCAAAATCAATTGTAATCAGAAAAGAGAATCAAGCTGATCATGTTAGTCGAACAATTAACTGACTAATGTTTTCTTTTTTCTTTTTTTTTCGAACTTCCTGAGGTGAGAGAGAAAACTACTTTTTTTTTGTTCTTTTTCACCTAAATTACATTCGATTGGTTAAATTATTATAATCTACACTTATTATTATTTGATCAAAGAGAAAATCTAATTCATTAGATTGTTAGTATTTCAATAATCGATAAGGTCAATATTTGATCATTTGATATTTTTTTTTCTATTTGCTGACCACACGAGTGACTCTTTCAATGTCCAATTGTTAAGACTCTTCTCACTAATCAACACAATTTTAATCTAATTGTTAAAAGTTAATATCAACTACAAGTTAATATTTATCTTTTTTCCCCTGATTATTATCATCTGATGATCTTCAGTTATTATCAATGAAAATATCATATAGCTCAAAGAGCTGAAGATAATCATTGAAGATGTTTAACTTTGATGATCTTTAACCACGAACTGATCTAATTGTGATACTAATTGTACGAAGAATAATAATAATTCCGCTTCTGGTAAATTTCGTGTATCTTCTTTGTCTCTTTCCTTCTTTTAATTCTTTTATTCTTTCCTTCCTGTTTGATGGTTAAAATCAATTTCTCTTTGGTTTATCATGATAATAAAATGGATCGATTTTCTCAATAGCAAAACCATACCACCGACAGTAATATCTTTGAATAGAAGAGGATTTTTCGATCCGATAACTTTAACCATCGACCAATTAGATGATCTAATATATTGAAGAATTGCTGGAAGAATGAAAAGATTGTATAACTTGGCTAGAGGGAAAAGGAGAAGAGAACTTTTTGTTTAATCCAAAGTAAACAGGTTGAATAAAAATCAATTTTGTTAAACGTTTAAACTGTTAGAATTATGGGTTAACACCGAATGGATTAGAAATCTGTTCCATTCCATCAACGGGACAAATTACAACAACCGAAGGTCCTTTGCACACCACAAGCCCAAGGTCTCGAGTATTTTCCGTTAATTTCAGGGGATCCTCTGGATCTCTTAAAAATTCTTTGGTATTATCGAGAACAATGTTTAACAGTGGATCAAATCCATTTAAAATACCAATTGCTTCTCGGCCTCCTTGGAATTTAACTCTCACTGGTTTTCCCATGTATTTTGTCAGGTCAACAATTGATTCCTTTTTCCTACCCAATGGATTAACCTTTTGGTCACCACCAAGTTTAACACCTCCACCCGCAGATTCCTAAATAGCGAGAAACCCAAAAGAAGTAAAAAAAAGCCAAACATACAAAAAGGTTAACAAATTGTCTCAGATCAAACAAAAGGAATTAACATTCACTGTTTCACTTACCATAGTTTAATCTTCAAATTGACAATCGAATAAAGAACTGATTTAATTGAGAAACTGATACAATTTAGTTAATTGTGGACAACAAATGATTAAAAAAAACTCTTTTTAAATCAAAACATGAAAAGAAAACCGAGAATTTGAACCGCGAAAACAGTGACATCTATTGGATTCGAAAAAAGAATTAGTCTATTTTCACTAAACTCTCTCTACGTTTAGCTTAATTCTCGACATTTGATAATCGATAATAATTAATTTCTATTTTTCTTAGTCTTTTTCGAGTGGCAATTAATTCATCACATCAGATTTGATTTTTAATTCTCATTCTAATCATGGAAATGATTAAATCATCATTGATTCTCTCTATTGGTAATTAACTTGATTATTTAATCTTCACACTGATTGTTAATTGATACCAATTAATTAATTCAAGGTAATCAAATTAATCGTTCATTCAATTGAATTTAATTAACATTTTTCATCTATTTTTAGTTTTCCAGTTGAAACAATTAAACTTAATTAAACTTACAATTTACTCTATCACATAATCAACTAATTATTAACATTTTTCTAATTCTATTACACAATTAACCGATTAATTGTGATTGACAAAATCAAGGTGAACGATTGATTTATTATCTATTTTTAAATAATTTAATTGCATAGGTAAGCAGATTCTCTAATAACAATTAAGTTAATTATGTGATTGCTCATAATAATTAACTTTTTGTGTAAATAAATCAATTGATTAGCTGATTTAATTATTATGACAATAAAAATCACATATAAATATTGACTCAACTTCAATCCAATTGATTAATTTAATCGTTGAACATCAAACCTTAAACATGGACAATCAACTGATTCATCTCATCATTTTTCTAATTGTTGTTAAACTTTTAATTGTTAATTGTAATCCAATCGAGGAAATTAAATCAACCGAATGAAGTCAAGTGAAAAATTGGATGATATTGATGATCGTCAACCAACAACAATCAATAAATCAGCAATCAATGAAGATTCAACAACCAAATTAAAACCTCGACAATACTGGTTACCAGGGGGTAAGTTAACCTAATCAACTAATTGTTTAGCTAATTGTTAATCATCTAATTCAGTTTCAGCTCATTACGGCCCCGGTCCCGGTCTCGGTTATGGTTACGGTCTTGGCTATGGTCTTGGTTACGGTTATCCACCTTCACCATTTGGCTTTGATTACTATTGATTGTAAGTTAATTGTCTTCCTCTTTTATTGATTAGCAAATTTTTCAATTGAAACTGTTTTCTTAATTGTTACAATTAAACAGATTTTCAAAGCTCTAATGGAGATGCCTAATCATTATAATAGTTACAATTGTTTCCAATCTTGATGGTTTTTCAAATCGATCCAATAACTAAATCAATCAACAATCAGAGTGTTTATTTTTTGTAATCAAATCCATATTTTTCCAATTCAATGTAATTAAAAGGGAAGCATACAATTTTTACTCTATGAGAATATTAAAAATTTAAACAGCAATTAACTTGGTTTCTAATTAATTTATGTCACCATAACTGTGAAATGAAGTTACAATCAGATCAATTTAAATTCTTCCTCTCAAAGTATTGAATTCATCTTTCTGAACCAACCAAAAGTCTTCCACCTTGGGCGAGATTAGGATAATCCTCATTCGGATTGAATTCATCTTACACAAGAAACTAAAAATCTTTCCTCATTTTCAATTCGTCTCTTGCTCTATCTAACTACGTAAATCAAGATCAATGATTTTTTATTTCTTGAAATTCTATTGTGTAAAATTTGATATCAAATGAACTAATAATATTATTAGTTCATTTATATTACACCTTTGATTTGTGAATTAATAGGATACAAAATTGAGATTACAATTTGGGTGTACATTGTGTGATTTAAGAAGGTTATTGATTACATATCGATTTTATTAATTTCTTGAACATTTCATTCATAGTGATAGTTACACTTTTATACTTTACATAAATTATTAATATAATACATGTATAAATAAGGAAAAGCATTTGGTTGAAAACGGTGAAGCTCATAAATGACAGAACTTCTAACTCGAAATGGTTAAATTGGTTAGTTGTAATTCAAAAACTTGAGAATTTTATTAATTTCCTTTTTTGCGTTTGCTTCCCGGTAACATCACGGCTTTGATTTTATTTCGGGACTTTGATTTTTGTTTCTTCCGTCACCGTCGAGTGTGATTTTCGTTGATTCCTCGAGGCTGTATATTGGCCGTATATTGGTTCCAATGAGGATGATGAAGGTGCTGCAGACGATGAAGTCAATGAAAACTTTGAAACTTCTGAATTTCATGATGACAAATTGATGATAGTAAAGTTGTTGATTGTTACTTGAAAGCAAAAGATACGTCGATTAAATCAATTGATGATTGAAAGTGATAATGATAAACTTGGAAGCCTTTCTTTTTATACGGCATGGGTATCAAGGTTATTCCTATTGAATAATGGTAATCGACACTTTAATCACCTGTGAGAATTATTTACAATTAAATAAATTCCATATGAATCAATAGACAATATTCAATTATTATATTCACTTCTGTAACCATATAGAGTAATAACAAGAGACAGACAAATAAGATATCAAGAGATCAAGAGTATTGGATGAATACAAATTCAAATTGGGTGACAGAATTGAGTTTAGTTTATGTGTTATAATCGAAAAACTTTGATCGCCGATTGTGACCTGCCCAGAATTTTTTAGAACTTTTAAAAAAGGTTAAAGAGTTTTTATTGAATATTCTATGTAAAACAATTTTTGATTTTGAGTTTGACAGAGGTCGATTTTAGGGTTGACATTCATCTTTGTCTTCGATAGAGCAAGAGACGAATTGAAAACGAAGAAAGATTTTTAGTTTCTTGTGTAAGATGAATTCAATCCGAATGAGGATTATCCTAATCTCGCCCAAGGTGGAAGACTTTTGGTTGGTTCAGAAAGATGAATTCAATACTTTGAGAGGAAGAATTTAAATTGATCTGATTCTAACTTCATGGAAAGTTTTGTCCAACGATTAAATTAATCCTCCTTTTCGTGAATAGTTAGGCTGACAAAAGTAATTAATCAACTATGTAAACTAAATTAACTTCTGTTATCATGCTAAACAACCATCAAAGAGGCAATTTATTTTAATTGAGATTAAAACTCCCAAGAAATAACAATTTAAATTGTGAAAGTGAATATTAACCTGAGTAGAAGAATCAGAATTTCTTAAGTTCCATATTTAAATTCTGATGGTTAATTTGGTGTTGATCTATTCCTTTAAATTGTGTCTTCCTTACTACGTTCAAATAAAATTTTCTTAACATTTACATAATTAGTTAATTGTGATTAAAAAGAATAAGAAAAAAATTGACTTTAATGGAAAAGTGAAAAGAGCGACATCTTGTGGCTTCGAAAAAAATAATCGATTTGTGAACTGTTCTAATTGTAACAATTAGTAATAATTGTAACAAGTTAATTGTCATCTGGACGACTAGTTCTGTGCCCTCGGGGCAACTTAATTAATTTCTTTTCTTAGTCTTTTTCGAGTGACAATTAATTCATCTCATTAGATTTGATTTTTTACTCTCATCTTAATCATGGAAATGATTAAACCATCAAGGATTCTCTCTGTTGATAATTAACTTGATTATTTAATCTTCACACTGATTGTTAATTGTTACCAATTAATTCAAGGTAATCAAATTAATCGTTTATTCAATTGAATTTAATTAACATTTTTCATCTATTTTTAGTTTGCCAGTTGAAACAATCAAACTTAAGTCAACTTACAATTTACTTTATCACATAATCAACTAATCATTTACGTTATTACATTTAATCATTTTCGTATTAATTTATTTGATTTTCTTACACCTTACCAACAATTAACAATTTACAATAAAATTCATCTGCTTGTAACAATTACAATTAATTAGTAATCATTATTGATCAAAGTAAATTAACTTCTGTTATCATGTTAAATAACCATCAAGGTGATGATTTATTTTAATTGTGATTCCAACGCCCAAGAAATAACAATTTAACTAATCATTATTTATGGAGATTCTCAATTTAACTATTAAATTGTTACTCTTATTGTTTCGTGATCTATTATTGTTGTTGTTGATCAAATGATGTCAATCATGATCATGATGATTTCTTTAAATTATTCATCATGAAAATAATGATTATCAAGTAATCAACATAATCCATTGGTAAATTAACATAATCAATCAATTGAATGGAATCATTTCTCCCAATCAATTGACGACAATCAGTATTTGGGTGTGTGGGAATTTGTCCCAATCAAGACAATCAACCGAATCAACGGAAAATCAAACAACAACAATCAGAAAATTTGATTGACCCAAAGAGAAAAACAAACTAATCCAATTAAAGATAATCACTGATTGCGGATTAATCACACTGATAGAATTAGGAGATTATCAACAATTTCGAAGCCAAGTGAGAATTAGACAGAGAAAGAAAAGCGAAATCGAAAGTTAATTCGAAAGAGAAAAAGAAAGAGAAAAAAGTGAGTCGGACTAATCCAGTTTTCTCTCTTTCGGTTAACTCATTTTCTTTTTTTTTATTTACTTTTTCATTTTCTCTCTTCACTTCATCTTGTTTATTTCTCTTCACTCATATTCTGTTAATTGTTTCACGATTATCATGAACTATTATCATCTCTTGATTTCGTAATTAAACAATTTAATCTCCTCATCATGTTGATCATTTTTACTTCAATTGAATTTTCAATTGGTTTTCTCTTATTTTCCATTTTGTTTATTTTTCTCTCTCTATGAGTTACTTTCCTTTTCCTCTCACTTTCTCTCCAATGTGTTTATCTCTCTCTGGTAATTTTCTTAATTGTTTACTTCACTCATTAATTGTCTACAATCTATTTTAATTTGTTAATTCTATTCTTGGTAATGTTTCAAATGTAAATCATTAAATTTGTGTTTTGCGTTTGTGTCGAAAAGCAAAAAAAAACATCCAAAGGAGAATAGAATTTTTTTTTCTTCTCTTTTTGGTTTCCATGTGAATATTTGGCTTGTGATTTTTTCTTCTCTCCTATTTTTCTCTCTTGACAACAATTGAACTTTAATGTGAATTTACATTATATTATCATCTCTCAGTGAATTTATTATAACAGCTCGAGGTTCACATTATCCTGTTAATCCTGTTAATTTAATTTTCTTCACTGGTAATTGTAGATATTTTCCTTGGATCATTTCTCTCAAATAAGTGAATTCCATTTTCTTTCTCGACCATTTCACCTTAACTGGTTTACTTTCTCTCTCTCTCTTCTGGTGAATTTCGTGCATCTTAAACATCTTCCTGGTTCTGGTATCTTCTTCCTTTTAGTTCCTTTTCCTTCCTGTTTGATGATTAAAATCAATTTCTCTTTGGTTTAATAAATCAATCGATTTTTCTCAATACAAAACATATAAATATATCTACATATTCACTATGCCGCCGACAGTAATATCTTTGGATAGAAGAGGATTTTGGGATCCGATAACTTCAACCATCGACTGGTGTGAAACCAATTATGAGATGAGCTATTATATAGCAGAATTTTGGAATACCCTGTCAAATTTAACCTTCATCTTACCACCGTTAATTGCCTTTGCTCATCTTCGCCGTTATGAGATTGATTTTCTATTTCTTAGTCCATTATTGTACCTTTCATTTGTCGGCCTTGGATCAGCTGCTTTCCATATGACCCTCAAGTATGAGATGCAACTATGGGACGAGATGACCATGATTTGGGAAGCCCTTTTGGTTGGCTATATTTTCATTAAGATGCTTCATCCACCAACAGCAGCCAAACGATCAACCAAATTATCGTTAATCTTTTGTGGTCTTGGCTTAGAAATATCCTACCTTGTTGTTAATGAGCCGATTTTCTTTCAATTGGGCTTTGCCGCTATTCATTATATGGTCATTTATCTTGGATATCGCATCACCCGAACCTGCCCATCATCACCTAGACTCTTCTGGTTAGGTGTTTTTCTCAACCATTTTGCTTTCTTCCTTTGGAATATTGATAATATATTCTGCTCTTCACTGGATGGGCTTAGGTGCGGTCTACCCAACATGTTAGCACCGATTTTACAATTACACGCAGTTTGGCACGTGATTGCCGGTTTTGCGACCTATTGTATGATAACTTTCGCCATACACACTCACCTTCTCAGTCAACGAAGATACTTTTACATCAAATTACATCCACTCACCGGATTAATTTTAAGTAAAACTTAAAAGCAAAGAAATTAATTTCTCTAAATTAAACCTATCCTTTCATCAACAATCAACAACCAGTAACAATAATAATACAATAATAACACGACATCAATTACAATTATTAATAGGATATGGTAAAGTGAATAGTCATGTAACAATTAAAGGACCATGACAAATTGTTGGAGAGACATGAATGGAAAACCAGTAAACACCATTAAATATCAGTTAAATTATCTTTTGATGCGGAAGCGAGTAAATAACTTCACCTGAATTGGAAAAGGACTCAAATCATGATTGATGAATGAAACAAAAACCTTCATGTTTATCAAAAGAGATATTGTATCCAAAACATAATGTCACCATGATGATAATGATTATCACCAAGGAATTACCATCATCTCTAAATAATATTCTATTATTATCTACACATTATGGTAAATATTCATTATTATTGCAACTCACTCACGAATATTTTCTCATCATCATTTATTGTTCCCACTTTCATCGATCAGTTTCCAACAAGGATATTCTCATTTGGTGTTTTTCTCTCAACCATCATCATCATCATCATCATCATCATCGTCCTGTCGATTTATATTACGAGTGAGATACTAGATGAAAATATTGTGTAAACTGTTTGGAAATTGAAAGAGAAGATTGAGAATCATCATCATCATTATTTCATAATTGCTCTTTTATTCAACCACTTAAATTGTCATTAGCTTGATAACAGTCAATGGATTATGATATTTATCTTATTGATTTAACCAGATCAAATAAACGAGGTTGTTAATCATTTTAAACCACGATCAAAAAGGCGACCGTCGACCAACAATTAAGCTTCAAGCTCATTAAGACAATCACCATTATCCATCATCACGATAAGCAAAAATCTTACCTTTTGCTAGTTTATCTTGATTGTCCACTCTGAGAATGAGTGAGGTCAACATGACGATCGATTTCTAACCTTCCCGGCGGAAATTTACTTTCACTTTTGACTTTCAACTTTATTTTTCCATGAAACCGTTACCCTGATCATCATCATCATCATCATCATCATTATCATGATAATCAACAAACTGGTTGATGCAGCATTCAATTAATGTAGAAAATACCTTTTCACACTTTCTTTGCTCTCTCTCTCTCTTTCTATTCTCCCTCACTCTAGTCATCATCATGAACAAACTTTTCAAGCATCAAATTAACCTAAATAACATCCTGATTCAGTCTAATTGTTAATTATAATCATGTACCAACACTGAACAATTGATTTAAATTCAACAGAAAAAAAAAATCCTGATGCTTTTTCACCTTAAAGACATTTGTTTTGTCTTGATATCCAATAATTCATGATCGAACCTCAAAGGTTATGTTAACAATTAACGTTATTACTGCTCAACTTGATTAGTTCAAAATCTAATTTTTAGTTAATTAACTTAATCATTGATTTTCCACAATTTATGTTAATTCATTTCAACCTTTTCTTTACTTTTGGTCCATCTTGTTATTTCCATTTCCGTTATTTAATTTCAAGTATCTTTATTTTTCGTTGTTTTTAATTCAATCATCTTAATTAGCGATTAAGTAATCACAATCATTCATAATACTAATTACTACCATCAACCTGCAATATGATAATGATGATAATCAATAGACTTGTGCTTGAAATTGTTACAATCAATGTTACTCTACAACAATTAGCTTAATTACTCTTTTGATGATGATAACAACCAATCTGATTGTATGTCAATCAGTAAATCTAATCCGATTTAAGATTTTACTTTAATCACAATTTACGTTTTTACCTTTTGTTGCCAATCACTTTTGTTATTATTTTGTAATATTAACCCAATCAAATTGTTACCTGATCATCTTGACAATTTATTTGATCAGGATGATGAAATAACCACTAATCATGATCAAATAACTTAACTAGTCTCTCTCTATTATGATCATTTAATTTAATCATAATTCTTAATTCAATCAACTTTTCCTTCCTCCTTCCTTATTGTTCCCATTTGATTTTCTTCTTGAATTAATTGTAAACAATTAACTGAATTTCAATCAATATTCAAATAAGAAGAGAATCCAAAATCTATCTAGTTGAGTTAAATGAATATCAAAAATTCAATTGTAGTTAATTGTTTATTATAAATGTAACAATTAATTTAAATCACAACGAAACTTAACCAAAGTTAATTTGGTTTTATTGTAACAATCAAATTAAAATTGATTAGATGAAAGTTATAACTATAGTTACGAAAATAAGTGACCATTGATTAATCAATTATTAATTGTAACAATTTATCATTTAATTGTCTACATAAATATCTAATTGTAATTGTAATTAACTATTTTTCATTTCTTTCAGTTTAATTGTATTTTTTCTTACTCTGTTAATTGTTGACATGAATCAGATAATACAATCAACTTATCGAGGTATCAACAATTTACAAATTTGATTAATTTCGATATGATTTTTAATTGTTGTGATTAAAAAAAAGTGAGGTAAAAGTATTTAAAAGATTAAAGAATCAAAATTAATCGTTACAATTAACGAGCACAATTATTTCAATCGGTTTTCAGATTAATCCATCAAACAATTAACATGATTACTAAGGTTAACAAGGTTAATTTGAATTCTAATTTTAAATTGTTGTCATAATGATGGTAATTACTTATGGATTATGTTAACTACTAACAACTGATTAACTGACACAATTTAATTGTTTGGTAATACAAAATGGCAACTTGATTGTATTTAGTTAATTGTGTTATAAACGATAACCGGTAGTCCTGATTAGGAGGAGCTGTTAATTATAGTTGATGAAATTAATTTAGCTTGTAAATCATGATAATTGTTTGTTAATGGTGATCAAGTTAATCAAAAACATTGATTGTTGAGGAAACACAAACAGTTACAATTTATTAATGGTTATTGATTGAAGCGGAAACTGATTTGTTTTCATTGGAAACAATCAATGAACAAAGTTGATCAGTTGTATTGCCAACAATTAACCTGGAAAAGTGTGAATTTGATTGATAATCAAGAGCAGGATGAACAAAATTTTGTTCACTAATGATAAGTAGCAATTGAATCCAGAGTTTGGTCTTGAGTTTCCCCTGAAACCAGGGAGGGTGGTGAAAATTCTGGTTGCCTGAGTGGCTTTTTTATCCCTCTGAAAGGTGACATTCATGTAAACCGTATCGGTGATAACATCGAATCGATAGTTTTGAAAGAAAACGGAAAATAGTCCAGGCATTGACCAGAAGCACCGAAATCCTCCCGATCCCCCTGAACCTGGAACCAATTGTTGATTCCGTTTTGAGTTAAGAATTATTTTCTCCCGGATTGGCTTCAATTTCCCTGTTTCCCAAATATAATGTTCACTGAATCCACTCGGTGTGCACATGATAGCGTAATCATCACCGTACAAATTGTCACCCGAAAATGAAACAATCAACGAATCACTATCATCGGCTGAATAAACTGCCCAATTCAATAGTCCATGCGAATCGTCCTCATCCTTTTCCGAGTCCTTCTTTTTACCCGAAGATTTTGATTTTGTCCTTTTCCCTTTTCCCGAAGTGGTCAACAAGGATCGAGGATAATGACCACTACCATCGTATTTGATTACAACTAAATTGGTACAATTACGATGATTAATACAATCATTAAAACCGATACATAAAATATTTTCTTCGCCTTTACAAGATTGGTAAAGATAATTAAATCTATGAACTGGATTAAGTGAACCATTTGGATCGACCATTTTTGAATAGTAATTCCAGTTAATTGTGATCGGAATCTTCTCATTGATTAGGTTAATTGTTTCGCCATTTCTCATGATTGGCCAAGTACCTTGATTCTCTACAATTAGAATAGTTTTTTTCGAAATTAACTTGATTATCTTAATTTATGGATCACTTTTACCTGAGATAATAAATCGACAATATATTGAACCATAGGCTTCATTTGCGAATTGAATTTTCTTTTGTCCTGATTTATTTTCAACTAATTGTGATTGATCTTGTCTCTTGTTGGTCAAACATTGATAACTAAATGCTGACCCATCGTCGTTATTGTAAATGAAATTCAAACCAATCGATGAGGTTTCATCGTCATTTCCAAATAACTGTAATTCAATAGCCTCAGAATCAATCCCATGATGATTAGTTAAATTGCTGGCGATCGGTGTTAACAATGGCCTGAGTATCGCTACCATTGAACAAGTTGAACATTTGAGACACTCTTGCTTGGGATTGTCTTTATTTAGACCAAAACAAATCGATGAACTTGCTAATTGTTGATTGGATAAGTTAATTGTTTCACATTCTTTGTAAATATCTTCTCTTAGTGAGTAACCAGGAAGACCTGGAATCTTTGATTCAATTAAAGTCAAATTGTTTGATCTAATTGTCACCTGATACATTGTATTTCTACCATTGAATGTTAATTGTCCATCAATATCAAACTCCAAAGGTAATGACCAAATATACTTACGTGTTGATCCAATTACTTTATTATCACTATGGGCTAATAATTGATCGTCAATTTTTTTCTCCAATGAATTGTCAGGTGAGATTATCTTGTGACGACAACTAATTTGATCACATTGACTTCGTATCGATAATAATTGTTCACTGGCAAGAGAAATTGATTGACCATTGGTCATTTCTGTCTTCTTATCATCTTGAAAAGTTAATAATCTTTTTGATGGTTTGATATCAATGGTGTAAGACGATTTTTCCATTGGTACCATGAACAGATAATCATGATACAGAGAATCATATTCTCTGAGTTTAATTATCAATAACTCGGAGCAAGAAGCACTTTCGACACAATTATCGGTACCAAAGCAAAATTTTCTTCCATTGTCACAACCCTGATACAAATACTTCCACTGGTATAATGGTAAATCTCTTGATTTCTGTTTATCGAAATTTTCGTCCAATTTGAATACCGATCCTAAGACTAACCAATAGTGAGAATAGACCAGGTCAATGGGTTTGTTTTCCTCGTTCAAAGGCCACTCTGAATTCCGCTGAGAAACTGACCAAGAACACCCAAAAATAGGTACATCGATTCCTGGTACATCTAATTGTTTCATCCTTTTCTCTGACCTCCAAAGGTCCGGTGTTTGTGTTGGCTCATCACAATCACTTTCACACTCAACTTGACATTGGTATAAATACTTTGACTGTCCATTGGTCAGCCAAAAGTTGTACGAAAAATTTGATAAAGACTTGAAAATATAAAGATTTATACTCAATTGTTCATCACCAATGTCTACATAAGATGGTGACTCTGATATCGAAGGTGATTCCGATTCACTCGGCGAAAAAGTGTCCAACGAATCGCTGAGCACCCTAACGATGACCAGGTAATCACATGTTGACGATTTAAAACACTTATGGTCATCTACAGATGACCAACCATAACATCGTTGATTTAACTTACGATAATCTCGACAATCTTTGTAAATCTCAGCGAAAGTTTCAATTTGCTCAGAATCAATTGTTAAAATTTCACCACAACAAAATTTAATCACCAAACTAATCAATAGAATACAATTTATCGGTAACTCTAATTGTCTCATGATTTCGAGTCACAATTAACTTCCAATGGAAAAACATATTCTTTCAACCTTTCGATTAAATCATTAACCTTAATCATCTTCATCAAATCCTTGATTATCAAAGAACGTGAAAATTAATCAACAATCTAATCCACTAGAATATTAATCACATACATTTATTTCACTATCTTCACAAATACACAATTAACTAATCACTTTGATTATTGTATCGTTTCTGTAACCAATTAAGCGGGTATTAAAATAATCGATGACAATTAACATTATTTGTGTTGATAGTTAATCACCAATTAACTTAATCATAATTCTTAGTCTTCAATTAGATTGTGAGATTATAATGATTAGAATACTTTTCTATTAATGTAATGATTATGATGAGAAAATTAAATTAGTACAATTAACTTTTCTCTTAACAATATGATCATCACTTATGATAACTACAATTAAAATCTATTTGATTACTAATGATTTAATTAAATTGTCACCATTTTTGTTCACTCATTTAACATTAATTGTCTTGCTAATTATGAATATAAATTAATGAATGAAAATACTAGTTAATTGTTATCATTAGGTGATGTCTGATTAATCATTTCTAATTATTTGAACGGTAAAAATGTTACTTAATTGTGATTAAGGTAATTTCTGTTTCTCATTACAATTAACCTGTTAATTGTTTGTCTTCCTTGTTTTAAGTAAATTGTTAATTTCAAAGTCAAGTACAATTTAAATTGCACTTTTTTTGCCTTGATCATTGGGAACAATCAACTAAATAATTTAGTACTTTTGAATACAACTTAATTGTTACTTTAATTTTGTTTTTTTCCCAATGTTCAATCAGCACACAATTAATATTGTCAATTGTTAATTGTTGTTGTTTTTTTGCAAAGCCTTATTAGATTATGATTAAATTAATTGGTTGTTGGGAGAAAGACAAATTTGCCAATCACCATTGATTACAAATAATAATTAACAACAATCAAAAATTTCATGGATCAAATTAAATGTCTGATTAACAATTGATTAACAACATCACCATTAGATTGTCATCCCTAATTATTTAACTTAATTGTTAATAGTAAGTGTAGATAATTAAGAGTGGAGTGATGTGGAACTGAATTAAATTAAAATCTTCAATTATATATAACAACAGGGAAACAATTAAGGCTTTCATTTTGGTTAATTGTTACTGATTGTTAGGTTTTTATTTCTATTGTTTCTAATTGTAATCAGATATGAAAGTTATCACAGTTTTCAAGTTGCAAACAATTTGGTTAATCAGTTTTTCATTGATCTCAATTATATCAGCTGATGGACAACAATCGTCTACTGAAGTGACCACAATTAGTGTTGACAATTACGAAAATAATAATGAGCTCAATTCGAGTGACATTTCAATTCCGAAAGGTAAACGAACTGAATTTGTTTTCGTATTTGTTTAGTTGTTAATTAATTGTAATTATCAGGCCATTGAATTGGAAATTTTTCTTGTTTATTTAACGTGAAAAGTTTAATTGTTGTGTTTACTTTTTCTTTCAAGTTCAAACTAGATTATTTAGTTGGCTTATGAATGGACTAAGTGGTCAATCAATGGGTCAAACCTCTGCTGGTCTTAATGGTCTCAGTGGTCTTGGGGGCTTATTAAGGCCAAATTTGGGTTCTAATTCACCATTCAGCCGATTTGAAGCTTCGTTAGGATCACTTGGTTCTAATTTCGGTTCTAATGGATTTGGAATGCAATCGATGGGAAGACCATCGACGGGTCAGTTATCGATAGGACGGCCACCGATGGGACCTCCGCCAATAGGACCTCCACCCATGGGGCCACCACCTCCACCTCCACCACCGATGATCCAACCTCAGATGGGTCAATCACCAATGGGATTACCACCGATGGGGCGACCGCCGATGGGTCAGAATTCTGGCTCACAGTCTCAATTTGGATATACACCGCCAATGAATTCACAAGGAGGGTTTGGCTCAAATTACGCAGGAAATGGTCAACCTAACGGTCAAATGAACGGTCAGATGGGGAATCAATTAGATTACATGTCAACTAATGATCCTTATGGTGATTATGGAGGTACGTCCAATGAAATTACAGCTTGAGCCAAGTTAATTGTTGATTTCGTCAATCATTAATTAATCATTACCTATTTTGCTTCATTGTTTTACCAAATTCAACTGGACAGCTACTGGCAATTGATTGTCAAATATATTGACCAATATCTTCATTTTGGCTTTTTGCTTTTACAATTAACTATCTTATCAAATACATGAAACTGTGAACAAAACTTTAATCATCCCCCAATAATTACAATCGACTTACAATATATTAACCAATTTACTTAATTGCAATCAATCAGTTAAATGATGACTTAATAAAAGGAAGACACCATTTCTGAGCTTGTGTGTCCATTTTTTTTCATTTGCTTCTAACGATAAGTAAAAACAATATGAGAGAAATTGATTGACTCTTTAAGTATCTTTCTAATTGTTTGATTACTTTTTATTCTCAATCAATTAAGGTGGTGGCGGTGGTGATTTTTTCTCACAGATTTTCACTTTCCTCTTCGGACCTTCCGGTAGTTCAAGTGGTGTGGGCAGCGGTGGATCAAACGGTGTGTACAACAATGGAGGAAGAGGGAACAACAATGGCGGACAAATGGGTAGACCAAATTCTGGTTCTAGCTCCGGCTCGAATTCCGGTTCAAGTTCTGGTATGAGTCCAGAATTTTGGTCCAATTACATGAAAATGTTACAAACTTTATACAGTGACGGCGGTGGAGCTGGCGGGGGCGGTGGAGGTGGTGATCTAAGTGCCATGATCGGTCAAGCAACGAGCCTCATTCAAAGTTTCTCAGGGGGAGGAGGATCTTAATCGATCTCTCTAATCAATCAATTAATAGTAAATCCATTAATATCTCTGGAAAAGTTAATCATCAATTGAATTTTTTTATACCGTTTTTTTGTACGTAATAAAAATCAACTCAATCGAATCTAATTTTTGATCGTTAAGTTAATTGTCCAAAGGTTTGAGGTGATTAAATCCTTGCAGTGACATCTTATTAGCTTAATGATTGTGTGGTAAAACTTTTGTACTTTTGATTGGTTTGATAGTTGATCAAATGATTTATTAATTGTTCCAAACATGATCCAGCTCAATTCTGTCAGTTGATTGTCATTCAAAGGGTTGAAGAATTGATCAATTAATTCACTTGATGACGATAAATTGTTGATATTATTACTATACTTGTACTTGGAAAATATTGTTCTGATAATTAGATTTATTTGATTGTAATCGAATCAAATTAATCTTTTGTTCTATTCGTTAATTGCTCTTGTGTCATCGTCATGATCCTATTTAATCAACAATAATTGATAATGATGATCGGGAAAAGATGATTTGTAATAATCAAGTGATTCGTAGAGATGAGAATCTAATTAAAAGTACAATTGGAAAAATTTGAAACAAGAATTAAAATTAATTGTTGAGATTGATAACCTTGATTGTGGAATGATGATTTTTGATTAGTTATTATATATTTTGATTGATCACAAGATTATCATGTTGATTGTTGAACAAAAAAAACCATTGATCACAAAGGGAAACCTTCAATTAATGTAAATTTTGGTTAAATCATGTTTTTGATTATGAGATTGTTTCAATTGGTTTACAATTAATGAATTAATCAATTAATAACAATCAGCAAACAGAAGCAAAAACTTATAATTTATTGTTTTTCTTGATGTAATAAAGTTAATCATCATTAACTATCAACTGTTAACCTGTCAATCAATTAAACTTTTTTTGTCTGATGAAAACTTTTCAAGTCTAATTGAATATTATTAGTAACCAAATTTATATTAACTCTTTAACAGGTTAAGTATTAATTGTTTCATTGTTTAAACAGAGGGAGTTATCATGTTATTAATTAGTGAGAGTTGATTGTTAATCAATGTAATTTTTTCATGAGGTGTTACTTGGAGGGAGAGAGGGTAATATATATACGATCGGGTGATTTACTGATGATAATATTTACTTTTTGATCTTCGTGGTGGAAAGATAAATATTAATTGTAGTTGAATTGTTATTTGTTCTTGTTAATCAATATGAATTTTAAAGGTTTAATTTGTCTTCTTTTTATCGTCCCTGTGATCAATGGTCAAAATCCTTCTATCAGTGCTCAAGTTGCTGTTGATGGACCAGGAGCGTCGCTTCTTGGTGTCCCATCGACTATTGGTTTGGGTGGACCAGGAAAAGGTTTTGGTTTCAATATGGGTCCATTTAGTTTGGGTGGATCGGCTGGTCAAGGAAGTGCCAGAGGACAGGCTGGTATGAGTGTTCCTAGTTTTGGTGGACCTGGTGGGCAGGGAGGTTTTGGTGGTAATGGTCAAGGAGGTTTTAGTGGACCAGGAGGATTTGGAGGTTTTGGTGGCCAAGGAAATCAAGGTGGTTTTGGTGGTCCTGGAGGATTCGGTGGGGGATTTGGAGGTAGTCAAGGTGGTCCACAAGGAGGCTTTGGTGGTAACCGAGGTTTTGGAGGCTCTGATGGTCAACAACAAGGTGGCTTTGGAGGTCCTGGAGGTTTTGGTGGATTCGGTGGTCAAGGAGGTAACCAAGGATTTGGTGGTCCACCAGGTTTCAGAGGAGGTTTTGGAGGTCAACAAGGTGGTCGCGGAGGATTTGGTGGTCAACAGCAAGGTGGCTTTGGAGGTCCAGGCGGTCCAGGAGGTCCAGGAGGATTTGGAGGTTTCGGTGGTTTTGGAGGTAATCAAGGTAATCAAGATGGTCAAGGAGGTTTTGGATTTGGTGGACCACAAGGTGGTTTCGGTGGTGGATTTGGTGGTCCTGGAGGATTTGGTGGCTTTGGAAATCAACAAGGTGGCTTCGGAGGTCCCGGAGGATTTGGAGGTCAACAGCAAGGTGGTTTTGGAGGTCAAGGATTTAGAGGAGGTCCAGGTGGACGAGGAATCCCTGGTTTTGGAGGTCCACAGATTGGAGGTTTCGGAATCGGTAGTCCAATTGATGGTCAAGCTGATCTTGGTGTTTCAGCAAGTATGTCAGCTGCACCAACCGGTTCATTAGGAGTTTCAGTTTCAACCAACGGGTCAAATTCTGGTAGTAATTCAGGCATGAGTGCTTCAGCTGATGCTTCAGTCGCTGTCACAACAGCTTCTTCTGGAACAGTTTGAACGCAATTTTAATGAAATAATTAAAAAAGAAATAACAAAAAATCATTTTTTCTGGACACAAAAATTTGATTAACTACATAATGTAAAAAGAAAATTGTTACCGCTTGTTGTCATGTCACTTATTCTTTAAATAATATTAAAAAAACATAAAAAAAAAGTTTAAATTGCATAAATCAACATCAAGAATCAAATCAATTATTAAACTAAATTTTTATTCAGAGAAAAAAGTTTTGTCAACAAATTGTATCGAAAAAATCGAGTAAAGTTACCAATAGAAGTTCAAACTAATCATAAAAATCTTCCATATGTTGGGTTTGAAAGAAAATTTTTTTGTTGTTTTTGTTTTCTAATGAAAATCAATGTTTTTTTTTCTTTAATTGATCATCTCTTCATTGTAAATTATTTTAACCTGTTTTCTCTTATTTGATTAAGGATATAGTCTTTAGCGTGATGAGCAACAAGATAGGATATTTCTAAGCCAAGACCACAAAAGATTAACGATAATTTGGTTGATCGTTTGGCTGCTGTTGGTGGATGAAGCATCTTAATGAAAATATAGCCAACCAAAAGGGCTTCCCAAATCATGGTCATCTCGTCCCATAGTTGCATCTCATACTTGAGGGTCATATGGAAAGCAGCTGATCCAAGGCCGACAAATGAAAGGTACAATAATGGACTAAGAAATAGAAAATCAATCTCATAACGGCGAAGATGAGCAAAGGCAATTAACGGTGGTAAGATGAAGGTTAAATTTGACAGGGTATTCCAAAATTCTGCTATATAATAGCTCATCTCATAATTGGTTTCACACCAGTCGATGGTTGAAGTTATCGGATCCCAAAATCCTCTTCTATCCAAAGATATTACTGTCGGCGGCATAGTGAATATGTAGATTTATTTATGTTTTACGTGTACACGAAATTCACCAGAAGAGAGAGAGAAAGTAAACCAGTTAAGGTGAAATGGTCGAAAAAGAAAATGGAATTCACTTATTTGAGAGAAATGATCCAAGGAAAATATCTACAATTATCAGTAATTAAGAAAATTAAATTAACAAGATTAACAGGATAATGTGAACCTCGAGTTGACGGACATATCTTATGCCTTACCAATAAATTCACTGAGAGATGATAATATGATTATCTTGATCACTTTAATTCGATTAGTTTATTTTCCTCTTTGGGCCAATCTATTATGGGTTAACACCGAATGGATTAGAAATCTGTTCCATTCCATCAACGGGACAAATTACAACAACCGAAGGTCCTTTGCATACCACAAGCCCAAGATCTCGAGTATTTTCCGTTAATTTCAGGGGATCCTCTGGATCTCTTAAAAATTCTTTGGTATTATCGAGAACAATGTTTAACAGTGGATCAAATCCATTTAAAATACCAATTGCTTCTCGGCCTCCTTGGAATTTAACTCTCACTGGTTTTCCCATGTATTTTGTCAGGTCAACAATTGATTCCTTTTTCCTACCCAATGGATTCACCTTTTGGTCACCACCAAGTTTAACACCTCCACCCGCAGATTCCTAAATAGCGAAAACACCAAAAGAAGTAAAAAAAAAGCCAAACATACAAAAAGGTTAACAAATTTTACTCAGATCAAACAAAAGGAATTAACATTCACTGTTTCACTTACCATAGTTTAATCTTCAAATTGACAATCGAATAAAGAACTGATTTAATTGAGAAATTGATACAATTTAGTTAATTGTGGACAACAAATGATTAAAAAAAACTCTTTTTAAATCAAAACATGAAAAGAAAACCGAGAATTTGAACCGCGAAAACAGTGACATCTATCGGATTCGAAAAAAGAATTAGTCCATTTTCGCTAAATTCTTTACGTTTATCTTAATTCATCATTATAATCAATTGATCATTGATGATGATTAAAACGATAATATTAACAGAATGATAATAATCATCAAGATAACCCAATTTCTTGTAAAAAAAATTATCATTCCCCATGAAGTTTATTCATATCTATCAAAAGTTCAACTATTGAGAGTCTCAGTTTTTTGACAGAGCAAAAATCTCATGAAATTTCATGACGATCAAAATTAAAGTATTACAAAAACAAGAATCATCATACTACATGATAATATGAACCATGGAGAAACAAAATTCATGGTAAGTAACTGAATGAACGAAAGATTCAAGAATAAAAAAAACAACAACAAATGAAAATTTCATCTCAACTTTTACGTATTAACTATTCATGAATCATGAGAATTCAAAACTATCATCATGAAGAGAAAGATAAATGTGGTGATAAATTTTCTTTCTATTTCAATTATTCCAATTACTCCAATTTAACTAATTGTTTTTCTTTTCCTTTCATGATCAGAATCGAAATGTTTCATTTTCTACTCGAGTTCGAATCTTACCAACACCAGATGGCGTTTCGAATTCTCTTCCATATGTTGGGTTTTGAAAGAAAATTTTTTTTCTTGTTTTTGTTTTCTAATTAAAATCAATGTTTTTTTCTTTAATTGTTCATCTCTTAATTGTAGATTATTTTAACTTGTTTTCTCTTATTTGATTAAGGATCCATAGTGTTTAGTGCGACAGTTTAATAAGCATGGCAGACGTTTGGGACATCATGGGTGGTTTACCTTCAGCTCCATCAGGAGCTGGTAATCAACAAGGAGCTGATATGAGGAGACAAAAGATTAAGAAAATGAAACCTGAAGGAATGACTCGAGAATTGTTTGCATTACTTACCGATGATAATAATGACGGTGCTCCGATTACACACACTGATTTTAACCCTGTTGGTAATTTAACTGATGGTTATAAACAAATTAAAGCCAAATTGGGATTGAAAAAAGTTCGCCCCTGGAAATGGGTTCTCTTTTCAAACTCAGGGAGAACCGATGGTTTCAAGTTATCTCATTGGCGTAGAGTTGCCGATGAAGGGAAAGATTATCCTTTTGCTAGATTTTCAACAGTAAGTAGATTGTATTTGCTAATTTGTTCGACTTCTTGTTGGTCTGGTTTCTAATTATCTTATGTTTCTTTTTCTCTTATAGAAAGTTATGATTCCATCTTATACAGAAGTTGAATATCAGCAACATCTTCAAACTGATTCTTGGACAAAAGCTGAAACTGATCATCTTTTTGCTCTTTGTAAACGATTTGATTTAAGATTTATCGTGATACATGATAGGTGGGATAGATCAACATTTCCATTGCCTCGAAGTGTTGAAGATTTAAAGGAAAGATATTATACAATTGTTAATTCTCTAGCTGAGATTAGAGCACCGCCAGGACAAGAACCGAAAATGAAATATTTCGATGCTGATCATGAAAGGAAAAGAAAAGAACAATTAACTAAATTATATGATAGAACAAGTGAACAAGTTGAAGAAGAGCAAAAACTATTAGAAGAATTGCGAAAAATAGAGACTCGGAAAAAAGAGAGGGAAAAGAAAACACAAGATCTACAAAAGTTGATCGCCGCAGCGGATAAAAATTCCGACAATTCGAAAGCAGATACTCCTGGAGCGAACAAAAATCCAGGTAATTATTCCCTTCAATCAAAATCAACCTAATTAATTGCTAACGAAACTTTTTCTCTCAATTTCTCCCAATCAAGGTCCCGGTCGCCCTGGTCCAGGAAGAGGCAGGAAAAGGACATCTCATCTTAAACTCAATGCCGTCGGTAAAAGTGCCGATACATCAACACCAAGCGCTACCAATATTCTGGAATCGGTTGGAATTAAGTTTCCCGAAGTTAAATCTAGTGGTGTTAGTTTACGTTCGCATAAGATGAAATTACCGGGATCGGTTGGTACAAAGAAATCAAAGGCTATCGAACAATTATTAATAGAATTGAATGTTGATCTTAAACCGATGCCAACGGAGGAAATTTGTCAACATTTCAACGAACTTAGATCTGATATGGTTCTACTTTACGAACTTAAAATGGCTCTTGCCTCATCAGAATTTGAACTTCAAACTCTTAAACATCAATTCGAAGCTCTTGCTCCCGGATGTTCAAATCAGATAATTCCAGCAATTGAATCATCTTTAACTGCGACCACAACTGGTGATGATACGACTAATCTATCGGCGACTCCGGATACTCCTAAGAAAATTTCCGAAATAATTGATGTTGATTCTGGTCCTGGTTCATCGATTCGTAAGAGAAAAGCTGCTCTACAACAGGAAAATCTATTGAAAAAGCTCAAGAAAAATTGAAATTGATGGACATACAAAATCTCAACGATTAGGACATTTACATCCTGTTTAACTTTAAATTATTTCCAATCACAAACAAAAGGTTGCAATCGATTCGCAATCAAATTTGTACTCTCACAAAAAAAAAATAAAAGTACATGTACAGTCATTGAAAAATCAATTTCAATCTTTTTCTTTTCCACAATCGTTGGGGTTGAGTACAAGGTAAAAGTTTATAAATCAAACTAGTTTTAATTTTGGCAATCAAATGTCAATAGAGATTAAAGATCAATTTGGTTATGTAGAAAATATAATTGATTATTAGATGTATGATGATTGGAAGTTGAGAAATTTGATGGAATATTTTAGTAAATAAATTTTTTGGTTCAATTTTTTCTCTTAGATGAGCCTATCATCCTTGATTCTCATGATAAATTCAACATCTCTTGGTAAGATGGTCACTCTTTTAGCGTGAAGAGCAGCGAGATTTGTTTGTTCAAACAGATGAGTGAGGTAGGTTTCAGCAGCCTCTTGGAGAGCTTCAAGAGCAGAAAGTTGCCAAAAATGAGCCTGGAAAGTCATGTTCTTTGTAACCTCTTTCACTAATCTCATAAATGGACGTTTCCTTAATAAAAGGCCAGTAGTTGACTGATAGAATCTTATCTCTTTCAATGATCGAACGCCTGGTTTATTTCGTCTTTTGGTAACTTTCTTAAAACTGGGTAAAATTTTCCGCTGTTTCTTTTTGATAACTTGTTTAATGGTACGAGTCATGATCGTAGTATTTGAAAAGAACACAAAATTTCAATTCCAAGAGTAAATGTTGTAGAAAATGAAGATCAAATTGTTTTCCCGGTCAAAAAATGAAAGACCAAGATGGAGAAACACAAAAGTAGAACAAGAAGAGAAGAAAACAAAGAAGAGAAAAATTCAATAGTTTAGAATTAAATATTCAATGAGATGAAAGACTTTGGCTAAAACTCGAGGTAATTAAAACACTATTTTGATTTGGAAAAATCTCACAAACAATTAAAATTAACTAATTTCTTTTCATTTGATTGAGAAAAAGTATCAACTCAATGAAGAGAAAATTCAAAATCTTTTCAACGGATAAATAAAAAAGAGAAAAGAAAGTGGATCCGAAATCGAACATCGGATCCGATACATCGAAAAGAATTTTTTTTCTCTTTTTTTTGTTATTCTTTTTGTCGATCATTTCAATTGTGGATTTTAATTTTTCTTTTTCTTCTGATTGTTGATCGTTGATTAATTGTTGCACTTTTAATTTTCGTTCTTTTATCATGTTGATAGTTTTTCTTGCTCTTCTATCAATCTATCAAGTTCTCCAGGTTTCAATGAACACTGATACTTGTAATGAACATGTTTGTGCCTCGATTGTTAGTAAATGTATGTTAACCCAATCATGTAAATGTGATACATTAAATAATTTAACTTGTTCAAAAGATTGTTCAACATGTTTGGATTATCTTTATTCTGAATGCTGTAGTTGCCTTGGTAAGTTTTTAATCTCTTTGGGTCTGTTAATCCATAATTAATCTGAAAGATTATCTTCCGTTTACTTCCTTTTACTTTGTGACTCTTTTGTTTATTCTTTGCTTTTGTTTACTTTTGTGTTTCTCTTGTTCTTTTTGTATTATTTTTTTTTTGTTGATATTTTTCTATCCTTTTCCTTTCTATGCAGAAATGTGTCCACCTCAAAATTCAACGTATAGCATCTTGAGTACCAAAAGTCATTTTGAAGCTCTTGACTCTCAATCAGCTGAGCTTTTCACTGCTCTAACCAGAGATGAAGATCCTCTTGAACGTTGGGTTGCTTTCACTTTTCCAACACGAAAAAGTTTTATCGTTCCCAGTGAATCACAGGCAAAAGAAATCGTTTCGGATCCAAAAGTAAAAGTTACCATGAAAACTGATGGTCAAGATACAGAAGAAGATATTCAGGTGAGATTTTAGCATTTTGTTTCTAATTTTGTTTCTAATTTTGTTTTGCAACAATTTATATGCTTTTAGGCTAATTGTACAGTCGCTTACTTATCACATTGTTTGTCTTGGAATAAGTGTAAATCATCTTGTAGTTCAATGGGTGCAATTTCTTACCGATGGTTTCATGATGGTTGCTGTGAATGCGTTGGACCTTATTGTATTGATTTCGGACTTGATGAGTCCAAATGTCTTCATTGTCCGTTGATTGGCAACAAGAATGACGAACCATCCGAAACAGCACCAAATTCAGTTGTCAGTAGCTAATGACTTGTAGAAAAGAAAATGTAAATACAACAATTATCTAATCACATGTGAAACCCATGGAAATGTACGAATAATGTACAATAATTTATCTTTTTATTCAACGAAAGGCCAAGCAACACAAAAAGACTAAGGATTGTGATTAATTTACAGAGAAATAGAGAGATTGGAATATAATCTCTCGCCATTCATATCCCTCTCACTCATTGAGCTCAATGTAAATAAGCCGAAAACAAAAAGTAAATGTGTAACATTTAAAACACCCACCAGTCAAATAAACAATATACTTAATTGTTATAATCCTAAACGATTAAGATTATATTTTTTTCTTGAAAAGGAAGAAATTAAATCTAAATCCTTTAGACAATTAATCTTTTAATGGAAAGTTTATTTTCGATAAGTAATAAAAAAAAACAAGGTAAGTAAAATTTCAATTCGATCCTTTTAAAGAATAACTTTTAACAACATAATTAGTTGATTGTTTTTAATTTCTTCCCTTAGGTTTTGGTATTTAATTAGATAAGATTGGACTAAGATGGACAATGCCACAGGCTATTGGTGAACCAGCGTTTCCATCCTTCTTACTTTGGACATCGGTACCTCGACCAAGATCATCGGCTTTTTCAGAGACCTGGAAGGAAATTTAAATTGTGTATAAAAGTAATAACAATTAAAAAGTTTGCTACTTGTTGGACTGACTGGACTTACACCTAGTGTGCGATTGATGATTGAATAACCTCCAGTTAAACTGATAAGTAGATCGGTAAATTCAAAGTTTGCGACGCCATCAGAATCTGCGAAAATGTTTCCTAAATCACCAATATGTCGATTCCAATCATGTTTACCACCGTGTTCAGTTTTCTGTGGATTATAATGATCACCGGAGGAAACACAATCACCGCCAATAAAGGGCATCTCATAGATGTGCATTCCATGTGGACCCGAAGCTAAGCCCATTATTTTACCTTCAATCGAAACTGGTTTATTTCCCTTAATTTTGGATGATTAATTTAACGAAGTTAAAATCAATTGAATTTAATGAAACTCTTTAAATAAGATTTTCTATTTATTTCGTTTAACTTACCGTTTGTTTGAAAACAACTGTTCCTGTTACACCCGATGGACCTGATAGCTCAGCGACAGCTCGAGTCGATTTAAGAATCGTGGGATTTGGTGAACCACTTTGATAACTTTTTCGACTTGGTTCCTCCATCATTGCACTCGAAGGTCGGGAATCCATGACTGAATATATGGGTGATGAAACTGATGGCGGAGGAGGAGGAGGAGGAGGTGCTGACCATAGTGGAACTGAATTGGATGCCGATGGGAGATATGAAGATCCCTGGTAAGGTGAGTAATCAGCTGGTACAAATGATGACGGTGGGATAATATTGAAACACGGATTAGCGGGGAAACGATAATGGCCACCATAGGAAGTGAAATAATTGGTTGTTGAAGGGGAGGAAGATGCAGCTACAGAATTTGTATACGAGGGTTGATAAGATGCCGATGATGGTGGTGAATAAGATGGCGCTGAGTAAGACGGTGGATTATAAGAGGATTGTGGCGATGAATTGTATGATGATTGCGGCGGTGGATGTGGATGTGGTGGTGGAATCAATGGAACTGGTAAAGTGACTGTCGATCCTGATGAAGATGATCCTGAGTAAATGGGTCTAATTATTGATGCATATTTACAATCAATCGCCATACTTTGAACAAAAAGTTAAAAGGATAATCATCAGTTAATTGGTTTTAATTTTTTACTCCCTGATTATGTTTAACTTACTCTCCACTAAATGGTGGATAAATTATCGGATCTCCTGAAGATTGTTGATTAGTATCAAAAGAACCTCGTGTTGGATATTGATTGTAAGTTCGCCAATCATTGTTCGGGTAAGAATTTCCTATGCAATTGTCAACAATTTAGAAATTAATTTCATTGGAAATTGAAATGATCACTTTCACTTTCTTACCTGAATTTGATAAATAGGTTGTTTGAGATGATTGAGGTGGTGGAGGTTGGGGATTGTATCGGACGGCGGGTGGTGATGGTGGGAGATAGGAAGGACTCTGAACTGATCCAGTTGAAGTGACCCAAGTTGCCTGGTCAAGAACTGATTTATATCCGGTTAGTTTTGCTAAAGGATCAAGTGATGGAGATGATGGTGAAGACGAGGATGGTGATGATGATGATGATGATGATGAAGGTGATGAAGGTGAGGGTGGTGATGATTGTTGATTTGGAGGATCACGATTGAAAGCATAGAAACCTGAAGGCCAGAAAGACGCTGACCCATAGTGGTCAGTAAAAGTTGACGCGATAATTAAGACAGTAATTAATTCAATCGTTGCAAATAAAAGTGTCATTACGATAAAAGTTTGATAACGAGGCGACCAAATGATTAGTAACAACAAATTAACTAATAAGATTAATGATTATCCAAATTTTTTCTTATTACAATTTAAATTTCACGATTAACGTTATCAACGAAACGACAATTAACCAACTGATCATTACACAGATTCAATCACAAGATTATAAACCTTTTTTATTTCAAGTTTAATCTTTGTCCTTAATTGTTAACAATTAACTTTACCTGGAAAATTATTGTTTCAATAACTTGATTTTGCTTTTTTTTTCTTGGTACAAAAGATTTGTAATTAAATTACATTGAATCAAATTGGGTAAATACAAAATTAATTTCACTTTTTAATTTAATTATCTTTGTATCTTTCATATCACAATTACAATCACGTAAATCATGATGATTAATTAGACGAGAAGACTAATTAACCCGATTAGGTCTTTTGTCTAATCAGTTTTGTCTTTCTCTTTGTTAAAAATTCATTTCACTTTCATATTAATTTTCACAACAATTAACAAATTGTAACCCAATCAATGGAAGGACATTTCAGTCAACTAATCAACTAATTCTGATACTTTGTTGATTAATTCTGATACTTTGTTCATCCTATTAGATACAAGGAAGTGATTAATCAATGATGATTCCCAATTAATGATAAAATTTAAAAATCGTATCATTTAATTAGATCAAAGTCAATTTAAGGAACGTGATTAAAAATTGAAAATTCAATTGTAATCATCATCATTAACCTTTATTATCATTTGAATACAATTAAAAAATTTAGTATCCGTCAGTTTGCTATTGTTAATTGTTAATTGTTAATGTAAGTTTCATCAATTATTATTAATCAGGTATCAGATTATTTCACAATTTAACATCTCTAACAATTGAAATCTAATTGTAATTGACTCGCTTTTTGTTTACTTCAATCTATATGATGATCATGTTAACAATGTTAGAGAAAATTTTCTAAATTGTGACAATTGATCAAATTAATTGTTCGCAATTGTAATTATTTGAATTCTTCGTGTAAATAGACAAGAATCAAGGTAAAATCTACTCTTGGCTATTTCCACTCTCTCAGGTTTAGAGTTGAACTCGTTATGTTAACCAGATTGTTTTCCTTAATTGTTTTGGTGTTTTCTCTTGATTACTTGACTGTTTAAAATTAATTTTCTCTTCTCTTTCTATTGATTCAATTAACAATCGATAATTTGATTTTCTCATGTGCTCCATTCTCACTAAATTGTGATATTACTTTTTGTTGATACATTTAAGTGACTGGTTAACATGTGAATGTTTGTTTTTATTTTATTTTCATCACAATTGTGTTAATCATAATCATCTTGATGGTGACTAATTTGTCCTCTTTCCAAACGATTAACTTACCATTTGTTTTCTATATGATTAATGGTTAATCCGATTTACTGATGTTAACCAAGAATTGCAAGATAATCAAGTAATCTTCAAACACTTCAATTTACACGTGATAAGATTTAAAGGTTTGTTGTTTTTTTCTATTCTTTTTTCGCTTAGTTTTCTTTTCTCTTTTAAAGTGTTCTTTTCTCTTTTTATTTAGCTTGTTTCTCTCTCTCCCTCACTTTAAGCTATTCCATGGATTGCAATGAGAATGATTTGACACCACAAAATTGGAATAAAATAATTCGTGACCTGATATTACCCAATTTCCGTCCCAAATCTTTGGCCACAACGTTTACCTTCAAAAGAGATCCAAGAACAGGATCATTATTGCCCTTTGTTGAAGATGAATTACCTTTCCCTGGCCCTGAACATATAAATGCTGCTAATTCCCTTTCACTATCTCGTTACCCTTCACCTCACACGGAATCGGTCAAAGGTGATCCCAACAATTTACCCTTTGAACCTGCAACCGCTGGATTAAGTCTTGAAAGGGAGCGTCTTCTTCAACAAGCTGACCAAACAAGTGAACTTATCAATGGTCAATCAAGTGAATCTACTTTACAACAATCTAATGATTTAGTTGGTAATCAACCGCTTGGATTATTTTTAAATCCTCTCAAACCATTGGAATCAAAATTAAATACATTACTTTGTAATGAACGAGTTACCATTGAAAATTTGTTAACCTCTGAAATTGATGAGATTGGAAAATTGGATAATCTTTTCTCAGAGGTTAAAGTGAACAATTTAAATGAAAAGAAAGTCTATAAAGATGTTACTGATGGTGGAATTGAGATTCAATCAAGTGAATCATTTCTTGAAGAGAAATTGATTGATCGGGTTATCAAAGAGACAAAAGCTTCGGTTGTCTCTCTTTCGGTGAAAAATTTACCACCCAAAAAGAATGAAGCTTTCAAAGGAACAGAATTTGCTGAAATTTTAGATGTTGACCAGGAATTACCACCATTTTCTCAGCTAATACAATCTCCGGCTTTCGTTTATCCCTTCGAACTGGATACTTTCCAAAAACAGGCCATTATTTGTTTGGAAGAGAAGAAAAATGTTTTCGTTGCCGCTCACACATCGGCGGGTAAAACAGTGGTTGCTGAATATGCGATCGCTTTGTCAATTAAACGCAATTTGACTCGAGTTGTTTACACTTCGCCGATCAAAGCTTTGTCCAATCAAAAATTTCGAGACTTTTGTACAACTTTTGGATCTTCAAACATCGGTATATTAACTGGAGATGTTCAAATTCGTGCCGATGCTCCGTGTTTAATAATGACCACCGAGATTTTACTCAATATGTTGTATAGAGGAGCGGCTCTTATTAGAGACATTGAATGGGTCATTTTCGATGAAGTTCATTATGTCAATGATCCTGAACGAGGTCACGTTTGGGAGGAAGTGTTTATCATGTTACCTCATCATATAAACATTGTACTTCTTTCAGCAACGGTACCAAATGTTGTCGATTTTGCTGATTGGTTAGGACGAACTCGTAATCGTAAAATTCATGTTGTTTATACAACTAAAAGACCAGTACCATTGGAACATTATCTTTACACTGGAAGTGATGGTAAAACAATTAATGAGAAATTTTTACTCATCGATAGTCAAGGAAAATTACGTGATGAAAATTATCGTAAAGCGATGGCGGCGAAAAAGGAGAGAGAATCAAAATTCCATAAAACTATGGACCAATTAATAAATCAAGTTCGGGATCGGATAAAACTGATCGAAATATTTATATCACTGTGATTCGTCATTTAGACAAAGAACAACAACTTCCGGTGATTATTTTCACCTTTTCCCGAAGACGATGTGACCAATATGCTCGAATGTTATCTGGACCTTTAGATTTAACAACTAACGAGGAAAAAGGTAGAATACAAAGGTTCATCAATCGATCTTTGAGGCGACTTAAACCTGCCGATCGATTCATTCCTCAGGTCAGAGAGATATCGGGATATCTGAAAAATGGCCTTGGAATTCATCATAGCGGCATTTTGCCTCTTCTCAAGGAAATAACGGAAATATTATTCACCGAGGGTTTGGTTCGAGCTCTTTTTGCAACGGAAACTTTTTCAATGGGCATCAATATGCCAGCTCGAAGTGTCATTTTCGATGCGATAAGAAAACACGATGGTAAAGTTTTCCGTGACCTGGAACCTTCCGAATACATCCAAATGGCTGGACGTGCTGGTCGACGGGGTAAAGACAAAACGGGTAATGTTCTAATTCTTTGTAAAGGTGATGTACCAGAAATGTCAATTCTTTCTCGAATGGCGGTTGGAAAAGCGACTGAATTACAATCTCAATTTCGATTAACTTATTCAATGATATTGAACAATCTTCGTGCCAGAGAACATATTAGAATTGAATCGATCATGGAAAGATCATTTGGTGAACATCCGCTTCAGAAAATGGCCAATCAAAGATCTTCCGAAGTTGTCCAATTTCAACATCAGTTAAGCTCTCTACAAATCGAACCTTGTGATTTTTGTCTTGATCTTCGTGAATTTTGTAATGATGTCCTTGAATGTCGACGATTGCGGAAAAATGTAATGCCACTTATTTGTCGACATTTAGTTGAACATAAAAAGATGAAAACAAATGGTCGACTTATTGTGTTCGATCATCCTGATCATCCGTTTATGCTTGGAATCATTTACGACTCGAGAACGGTTTTCAAAGAAATTACCTTTGACGTGATAGGTTTAATTCCGGACGATATTGTGGCCTTTAACGGTGATACTAATAAGTTATCAATAACTTATGCGAAAATAACTCCAGCGGATATTATTATGATCCTTAAAGATGTTACCGAAGGCGCTGATTTCCGTATCCTTCGGGAAAAAGACATTGGTACAACTTTAAACGACAAACCAGTGACTTTAAAGTGTATCGAAAATGTGCTCGATTTAATGAGTATTCGAAGTCATGAAAGGCCACTTTCATGTTCTATGGGTGTTTTTTTCCTCGATGAAATTGACCCAATAAAAGAAATGGGTCTAAATCAGTTACAACAAGTGGAAATGTTTGATAACCTTGAATTAAAAAGGAATCATCTTCGATCTCGTGAATGTCTCATATGTCCAAAATTTTTATCCCATTACAAAGTAATGATGGAAAGAGTGATCCTCGAAATTCAACTTAATCGAGTGAAATTTGAACTATCCCGTGAATCATTGAGTTGCCTTCCTGATTACGAGTGCAAAGTAAACGTACTAAAGTGTTTAGACTATTTAACCGACGACAATGATATGTGTCTCAAATTAAAGGGTAAAATCGGATGTTTAATGACCGAACACGAATTAGTCCTCACCGAACTATTAACGGAAAATCTACTCGCCAATCTTGACCCACCTTATATCGCATCTTTATTATCAATTTTCGTTTACCAGCAAAACTCAGCAACACCAGAATTTGATGAAACAATGAAAATGGTCAGTTAGAGAGAGAGAGATCTAATTTTCTAAGCTTAAATAACATCTAATTTGTTGATTATATTTTCCCAACAGTTATTGACCAAAGTCCGAGGAATCGCTTTGAACATTGGTAAACTTCAACAACAATTTGGAAGCAAAGAATCACCAATAGACTTTGTTAATCAACTTAAAGATGGATTAATGATTGTTGTTTACAAATGGGCCTGTGGAATGGTAAATACTAATGATTGTAATGTGATTCTCATGATGATAATTACTAATGATTATTGTTAATTGCTTTTGTTTACAGCCTTTCTCAGATATCATGCAATTAACTGATGTTCAAGAAGGTTTAATTGTCCGATGTATCCAGCGACTTGATGAGCTACTCAAGGATCTCAAAGTAGCAGCAAATGTAATGGGAAATCCAAATTTAGCTGAGAAAATGGACCAAACATCGGAAAAGATCAGACGTGATATCGTTTTCGCTGCGAGTTTGTACATTCAAGATGACGATGAAAATGGTTCAAATGAGGCCGAAGATGAACAAGACGACGATGAAGATAAACCTATTGGTGAATTAATCGCTCCGTAAACTAATAGTTTCTTGTCATCTTTTTGTTGATCGAAATTATCGAAAACTTTTCTTTGGTCATTTTACCTGAAGGAAAAACATTTGATCTCCTGTTTCATTTGATTATAATCAGTTGATTGCAACAATTTATCATTATTCGTAATCACGTTTAACTAGTGATAAAAAGATCAACCAATCAATCATCAATTGATCACCATTGAAACAATCAGCCGATTATTAATATCATCATCAATTATTAATCAAACTGTGATGTTGATTGTTGCTAATCATCTGATGATTTAAATCAATTATAATCCCTTGAAACAACAATTAGCTAATGATTATGTTTACGGATTTTCTTATCAAAACAAATACTAATCGACTGATGAAAATTTTTATATATAAATTAATAATCTAATATTTAATTGTGACCAATGGTCTTTGTATATTCAACTAAATATTTCCTCTTTTTTTTGTAAATCACTAATTGTATCGTCTAACCTTTAATCATAAAAACTGAACTAATTTAATTAATTTCTCATATTTTTTTCCAGTAAAAAAAAACTGATTTTCCATCCTCAAGAAAATGATAACAATTTAAGTAATTTACACTCGGGCTTCCAATTGATTATTTTTCTCAACTGTAGAAAAAGTTACTCTCTAATTGTAGAGTAACAATCAATCCAAGTGTAACCTTAATTGTTGACAAACAAACAAATAAAAACTCAATGAAACGTAAAGAAAATTAGTTGATTAAAATAGTTTGTTTTCACTTGGATAATAATAATTAAAAAAGGAAAGATGAACACATTGAAGAGAATGAAAATATCAATAAATCACAGTTAATAGTTAATCAAAAAGAGAAAACAACAAATGATTAGCAAATTGTTTACATGAAGATAAAAATAATTAACTAAATCAGTTTGTCACCAAAAGGCTTTGAAATGTAAACATTAAGCTAATTGGATAACAAAAAATGTTATCAGATTAACCAAACTAAATCCAATAAAAAAAGAAAAGCAAATTCACATTTCCGCTGATAATTAAAAATGTAATCATTAGGTAACCAGGAGTTACAATGATTAACAATTAATTGGAAACAATCAGGATAATTGTCAATGGAGAGAAAGAAACAAGAAACAAGAACAAAAAGAAAGAGAAGAGAAAATTTTTCTATTATTTGTTTATTTCCCCTTTGGGGTGACTAATAACAGTCGTCAAATGACTGAGCAGCCTCGAGTGCTGCTCTCGATCGGTCATTTAAGCCACCGATTAGTGAAAGGGATATACAATGAATTGACATTTCTGTCTTTAAATTTGCTGTTATCTCATTGATTAGCTCGATATCTTTAGTCTTCCATTCATCTGTCGGTTTGTATCTTAATTCTGTGATTTGTGGCCATCGCTGTTGTGTGTGTGTACATTCATACATGATATGATAACTGTCCTTTTTTGTGTTGCAACAGTCCGGTAAGAAATATCTCCTTGTGAAGTGATCCAGTGCCATTCTGAGTCCTCTGTGATATCTGCCATTGATTTTGAGGCCTAATTTTTTCAATGTCCCATTGCTTTTCTCATATGCCTCTTTTATGATATTTTCTATCCGTTTGGCCATTTCTCTGTTCTGGTTCAGTCTGTTTATTGGCTTGCCACTGACAGGTACCTCTAATCCGTATTCCCCGTCATTCCATTCTCTTGGTTGGTTTAGTTTATATGTCCAGTTGCCCGGTTTGGTCATTATTTGTCTCATTGCCAGCGCAAATCGTGAGGATCCATATAGGTACTTAGATGTCTTCTCATCTAGTTCAATCGTTACATTCTTGTTATGGTATATCTGTATTATCATCTCCACTGCTATCAGGTAGCCTTCAAACTCACTTGCTCTCCCTGGTATAAGTAATGTAAGTAATCTTGTTTCACGTTCCATGAATGTTTTGAGTATTATTTCAATCCTCCCTTTCCCCTGACTTATCTTGTAGGCTGTTATCTTACTTCCTCCCTCAACTTGTCGGCATAAAATGTCTGTTACTGGAGTCCAAACTTCTGTGATCCATCTCTGATTCATAAATCTCCTTGTTTGATTGGCCTTGTGGTTCTCAATTATTCTAATTGTGTTTCTAATATAGTTTGGATATTTTAGTAACACGAGGTATGTCCATCTTGATCGTTTTACATCTCCCGTGAATCTGTTTATCAGCGATCCAATGATCTCAATAAGTTGTTCAATCGGCGGGTTATCTTGGCATAACATCATTAATGTGTGTTTATATATTTTTGACCAAACAAAGGATGTGAATAACAGCTTTTTAATCTCTTCCGGTAGAAATTTTATCGAGGGCCAGTTCGTGGATAAGTTGGGAAGAACTTTGTCCTCATACGTTTTGTTGATCAACTCCTTGTATTGTTTGATTGTTTGTTTGTATCTTATCATGGTAAAGCCAACAAGTTCATGGGTTTCCCTGTTTCCTGGAAATAATATCTCTGTTTTGTTTCTGTTTATTTGCAGATTAATTTCCATAAGGACTTTTTCCAGTTCATTCATTATTTCTTGTATTGTTTTCTTTGAGTTTGGTGGTATCATTACAAGCATATCGTCTGCATATGCATAGACCTCAATGCCCATTGCCCACCATTTGCGTATGCAGTGATCTAAGGCTAGAATAAATAGTAGCGGACCAATCGCTAAACCCTGGGATACCTCGGATTGGTTTTTCTTATACAGTTTTTTCCCATCATCGTATATGGTAAGGTAACTGTTGTTGTTAATAGATTCGATTATTTTAAATGTCGACATGCCAACAGATTCGATAAGTCGACACCGGATTGGGGCAAGGCTTACATCATCGAATGCTGTTTTGACATCTATCTTTAATATTGTCGATTCCATGAAGTTCTTGTGTGTTGTTATTGTTATATAAAAATTTTCTCTGCTTGTCTTTCTCAGGAATCCGAATTGTGTACCATGTAGTAGGAAATCCGGTGCGATATCAAGTAGTCTATTAGCTATCACTTTGTCTATCAGTTTAAGGAGGTAGCATGGGGTTCTAACCATCCTGAGTTTACCTTCTGCTTTGGGCACGAAACCGCAACCAACTGTTGTAAGTATATTAGGTATATGTGAGATCTTAAAGAAACTCTCAATTAACCATATAATTTTCTCTCCATTAATGTTTTTAAATTTATTCCAGGTATTTTTTGTGAAATTGTCGGCTGATAGGCTCGAGCTTTTTGCTTTCATTTTGCTTATCATTTCGCGTTCGTACGGCAGTAAGCCCCCTGGTACATATTCTGGTTCATCTTTATATTCCGGTTTCCGATGTGAGAAGCCATTGAGCCATTCATTTTTGCTTTTGATGGTTCGCGGATCTGACCAGTCAATGGGATTTTTATGTACTAGGATGTGTTTGTGGATCAGCTTCCAGATTGTTTTCGAGTTTCGTGTTGTTTTGAATAGTTTGATGATCTTAAATTTCTCCATTTTGCTCTTGAGTAATTCGTTTATTTGCCGTAGGTTTGTTTCCCAGTTTTCCTTTTTCCCCGAGATGATCTTCTTTTTTTCTTTTAATAATCTTTTATATTTGTTTTTCTTTTTCTTTCTTATTCCCCATTTCGCATGGTTATCTGGGAAATTTATTATCTCTTTTGTCATCTCTACCAATGGATGGTTCTTTTTCCATTTAGCCTCTTGCGTAAAGTCATCATTGAACGGCCTTTTGATTATCCATGAACCAAAGATTTTCTCCTTCGTTTGAGCGGATTTAATCATTTTTTTCCTTGGACTTAGTTCCGCTGTTGTGGTTAACATTAAGTGGTCCGACTCTATTAGCTGAGTTCTCGCCGATGCAGTTTTTGTGTTCGAGAAGATCATATCAATTACCCATTTCGTTGTACGGTATGTTGTTTCAAAATCTCTGCTGATGGGATGGATTTCGTTTTCCTTCATAATTTTAATCAACTGATCGTAGAAGGTTTTGTTTCTTCCTTGTCTTTGTTCATGGATTCTGTTTGTATCCTGCCAGAAACAGTCTGAAGTATTCAAATCTCCCATTATGAATATTGTGTAGTGTTTGTAACTTTCTACCAGGCTTCGGATAACTGTTATCATTATATCTCTGTTTCGTTGAATCCATGGTCTTATGTATATCGCTAGTATAAGGATCTGTTTTTTCGTTATTTTAACTGCAAGTAATTCCTCTGATGCTACCTCAATTGTTTCACCATGAAGTTCATTAGAAAGCACTACACTTATAGTCTTTTTCCCAAAGATAAATTGATTGTTTATATTTTCAGAAAGAGTTTTTAAATTTGGCTCACATATCGAGCATATTGTATTTGAAGAGGTCGTTGTTTCACTAATTAATTGTTGGGTTAAATTAACGTTTTTCCGTAAATTGGCGTGAGAAACTTTTAACATTATATCCATGATACTTTCTCTTAACTTTGAATCATAAATCAGTTTGTTGCGTCGTCGTCAGGTAGTTGCTAACCCATTTCCCTGGCTCGCTATTCAAACGTGACTAGTGATTAATAGAAAATGTCTGATGTAATTCCTACTGGTTTTTGCTTTCGAAACTTTAATGGTTTTATTAAAGTTACTCTTTATCGTAAATATGTAAATCAACCTTTTTTCATTGGTGCCAATTTTATTCTTTTAAAGGATTTTATAACAGTTCATAAGAGTGATGTTCAAATTACCGATCAGATTTACACTAAGTATCTTGTTGGCGATGTTTCTTTCTTTATTGTGAAAGTTAAACTCCGTTCTTATTCATCTATATTCACTGGTGTTGGTGTTCACCAGGTTTTCCGGAAAGCGTATGACATGAGTTGTCACAATTTAATGTTCGCTATGGTTCGAGGGCAACCTCAGATTCTTATGGTAAGTGTTATTTAAGATATATTTCAAACGTGACATCAGATTGGACTAGCGTGTAATCCTCTTAAATTTCATTCAGCCTAGGGTTCTTATGTCATTACCTAATTGGCGAGGTCATTGTTTCCTCAATTCAGCATTGCTTCCCCTGTTTCATTCACATATATTCGTGTCTGAGTTATTCAATTGTTATCTTGAGGCAGCAAGCAGGGTTGGTACTGGTGAGGTTCCGAACCCAAGGCGACGTGAAAACATGGTGAATCGAAATGAGCCTAAATATCTGTGGACGATTGTTTTGTTTAACTTTTTACGTGACGTTATTAAGGCCTCGACTCGTTCTGAGTTTTGTATCCATAATTTTCCACCTCATCTTGAGAAAAAGATTTATCCTGATCTTCGGACATCAACACCTGTGAAACGACGCCCGTTTTTGGATTTAGATCTTGATGATCATCAGATGATTCTTCTGCGACATCTTAGTGAATTTTGTAGTCGTGATTATGAAACTCCTGGTGGGATGGAAAGTCTGGTTTATTTTGATTTAATTCGAAAGTTATCTAATGATTTTCCATCTTTTATCCCAAAGTTTACTTATTCTGTCTATGGTGTGTTTGTTTGTAAACATTGTCCTGACCATCGTTTCAAATTCAATTATGATTTTCCTTTACTTGAGTTGCCTAATGATGCCTGTAGATCTCTCAGTCCTCTTCGTATTTCTGACGTTCTAACCAAGGCTGAATATTGGAGAGACTGTATAAAGGTTAGTTGTAACAACATCGTCTATGGTTCAGTGTGTGGCAGTGGGTATAAGATGATCGAGTCGTTTGGTATTAGGCGATTGCCTGAATTCCTGGTCATCAGTTTACGTGGATCTTTAATGGATGATGAGAGTTTTAATATTATTCCTGAGGAGCAGATGTTAATTATATTTAATGGTGAAAAACGGTTGTATACTCGTTTGGCTTTTAGCAGTGTCTTCATGACATATAAGGATAAATCCGGGAATTCCTTAGGTAATCGCTATCGCGCTCGAGAAGACGATTACGAGAACGATGATTGGCATACTTGTGTGAACATTAAAACTAATAGTGGTTATCAGGAGGTCAATAACGGTTGTTTCTTTGACCCGATACCTGAGTTATTTCTAAAGTATACTGAAGGTTCTCTCCTTTTTTATCAGTTATCTGACTCTGAGTGTTTACCAAATGCTAATCCTAATGTTGGTGATAAATAAATGAAATGTTTAATCAAAAAGTATTTTGGCACTTATTTATTTATAAAATCAATTGTTTTAGTTTTCGTGTTTTTATGTTGGGTGGTTACAATAGTGAATGCGGATCGGCTTAGCTGTTATTTATTTATCTTTTTCTTTTTTCTGTTATGTTTTATTTATGGGTGACGCCAGATAGGGTTAGCCTTAAATTACATCATGATGTAATTGTATGAATAATCATAATCGGACATGACAATGTTTAACTCCGCACAATATATTTTACAGTCCTTACTGTATGCCTGGTGACCTTTTTTACCACACGTGGGGCATAGGAATTCTTTGGCCGGGCAGACTGATGGTAAGTGTTGTTGTGAGCATTTAATGCATTTTAGTTGGTTACGACAGTTACGTTTGGTGTGTCCCATTCGATGACACAGTTTGCAAGCCATTATTGGGAAATTGTCAACAACATTGTGATAATTGCTGCCAGAGGAAAGTTTTCCATGTAATTTAGTTTCAATTATCGATCGTATGGCTGGAGAGACCTCAAGGATCACTCCCCACTTATCACTATTCAGGCCCATCTCATAATAGTGAACGATCTTGAATTGACTTGTGTCTCTAAAACCATTTATGTGCATAATTCGGTTTATATGGTTCTCCCAACTTTGGTTGATTGGTGGACGTAGGAAATTGATTTTAATCTGAGGGCGTTTCCAAGGGATAATCGATACATCAACATTTGCTTCCTTGAGTTTACGAAACAAGTCAGATCTTTCGTTTTCTCGGTTAACCATGATTACCGTGTATGCTTTCCATGCTGATATTTTAAATTGGTAGTCGATCTCTAACATGGTTATGATGTCTGTTAGTCGATTGACTGATCTCCCATCTTTTTCTCCGGTAACTTTGAGTTTAAAGATGCGTGTGTTTGATTGCCATTGCCACCACATCTTAGGAATTTCAAACGTGTTTGCAACCAAGTTCATTGCTTTCGTGGTGTTTTCTCTCTCCAGTTGTATTCTTTTAGCACGTGTTTCCTGATCCATATCGTCAACTGCTTTTCTTTTCTTCTGGTTTTCAATCTCTATGATAGGTAAATCTTCATGTTCATTTCCTTCTTCGTTCATTGGGTTACTTTCCATTGGGTTCCTGTTAAATCTTGCTTGTCGGATGCTTAGGGCCTTTTTATAGGCTGTTGTAATTTTTTTCATCCATTCGACTTGCTTTTTCGGGACAGGTTTACCCTCTTCATCCACTGGTTTTTCCATTAACTGTAACAGCAACTTTGTACTGAGTTCGATATCTTCCATTGATCCGGTATTTAGGTAAACCGTTAATCTTTGTCCACTAAATTGTCCATTTTCGAAGAGGTTTTCAACCTGTTGTTTAAGGCGATCATGTTGTTGTTTTAATTCCGGTGGGGGATTAGCGAAGTAAGGGAAAATGAGGTTCTATTTTGGTATCCGAAAAGAAATTTGAGAAGAAAAGAAAAGAAATTTTGAAAAGAAAACGTGTCTTAGTTAATCTTGTCGTGTAGGCAACGTGGTCATGGGAAGCGTGTCAAGTGTATCGTGTCGTGTTGTACTTACCGGTGGCATTGATGACATTTTTTCGGTATCAATTTGTAGCTTAGGACGTTATCAACACAAATTTAATTAAAGTTTTGATTGACAATATAATTTTAGCAAAGAAAGAACTTATTTTTGATTAGAGCTTCAAGGCTATTCTTTTTTCTCATCATATGGTTTTCGTTTCTCTTTTTCTCTTTTGTCCTCAAGAGGGAACAACAGTCACAGAGACTTTGGAGTTGTTTACAATTTCTCTTTTAATGGTTCTCTTAATTTCTCAATTAATTTGGAAATAATTAAAGGTGATACAATTAATTTTATTACGAAAATTGTTTAATTAACTTATCCTCTTTAATTTGATGTACAACATGACCAATGTTTTTGTATGTGATGAATCAACTTTAAATGAAAACTGTTCAGATAGTGAAACCTTCCCAAGAGCTATTCTTACCTGTAAGGGTAAAGCCTCGTTTCGAGATCGTAATCTCAATTTATGCCAACCTGTTAAAATTGGTCGAGCTGTAGGTAAATGTCGACCTACAGCAGAAAATGGTGTCTTCGATTGTAAAGTTTTATCACGTAATCATGCTCTTCTCTTTTATGAGAAAAATAAGGTTTGTTTACTTTGTTTTTCTCTTTTCTTCTTCTTCTTCTTCTTCTCACTTGACACATGTAAATTTGACATTCATTTTCTTTTCTTCAATAGTTTTTCCTTCAAGATACTGGAAGTTCCAATGGTACCTTTGTTAACGATGTACGTTTATCTACTTCAAATGAAAATTCATTACCCAAACAAGTATTTTCCGGTGATCATGTACAGTTCGGAGTGGATGTTACAGAGAGCACCAAATATTTAACAATACCTTGTATAGCTGCATCACTAAAACTTTATCACCCCGATGGTTCCGAGGCAAAGGCTATCGAGTTTGGTTTAAATTCAAATGTTAAACATTTCAACGCTTTTGAGCTAACTGGTTGGCTGCAAGAGGCTCGCCAAAGAGAGGAGGCTTTACGTAATAAATTGGTCACCTTGAGTGCGGTAATACACAAGGCTGTTTCAGCGTCACAAAACAGTTGGAAATCTATGATTGAAGAAGATGTATTTTTATCCAGAATTGAATCACTTCAAACTAGAATTAAATCACTTCTCGAATCACCTGATCATAATAAACCTGATGAGGTGATTGTTCATCTTTGGAAAGAGGTTATGAACTTACAAGAGGAAAGAGAAAGATACGAGACAAAGGCAAAAGAAGCAATACAAAATGTACTACAAGAAAAGCTGCTGGTAATTTCTAAAAATTATGAACTTCAAGTTGCGTTAAATAGTGCGGAAGAGCAACGAGATCATTATAAAAACGCTTGTGACTCTCTGTTGGAAGAGATGAAAAAATTGGCCGAAGAACACGATAAACAGTTCAAAGAGTTACAAGAGATGCAAGAGAATTACAAAGTATTAGCTGCAGCCTTTGAGAGTATCTCTAAAGAATCCAAATCGTTAGGAAATAAATCACAACAATTAACGGAAGAGGAAACAAGCGAAAAAGGAAAACCTAAAGAAAATGGTATCGATGAGAATCACAGAAGGGAAAACTCTTTTGATAAAAATTGTGATCAACTAGATGATTCAATGGTCGAGGATAAATATTCGACTATCATTAAAGAGAAAAAAGTTGGTCAATTAAATTCGTCATCTGATGATGAATTGATCCGTCCACAAACACTTCCATCAGCTGATAGAATAACTCGTCGAACTTCATATTCGACGGCAAAATTATTTATGGAAAATGATGATGAAGATACTATACAAGATTTAATTTCATCTTTAGGATATAAAACTCGTGCCAGTAACATAAGTGATTCACGAATATCAGATTCTCGAGATAAATTGTCAGAATTTAGACAAGCAATCCAAAAGCATATTGAATCACAATCAGCTCTCTCCTTGATGTCATCAGAATTAAATCCAGAGGAAATGGTTGTTGGCAATAATCAAACACCCGATGAATCAATAACAACCCAATCAAATGTATTAACTAATGAAAAGAAATCCCTTGATTTGGATAATTCAACCGGACAATTAAACGATGGTCAACAGAGTGATGACTACGATGAAGAGGAAAGCGATTGTAACACTGATGATGAAACAAATACAACAATCGGAAATGGCGATTCAATTGTTAATTCATCTCAAGAAAATATTGCTGATTATTCACCTAAAGACAATCAATCATTTGGTGATGATTCGTTAATTGTAGACGAAACATTAATTTCAAATGAAACTATTTTAGAAGCGCCGATAAAGATGATGAACACGACGACAACACCAACAACGGTGATGATGATGTCGATACCTGTGATAAATGAATTAAAAGTTGGCACCATTGATGAAACGGATGCCGTTAACTTTAAGCCATATAAATATGATGATAATGAAAAGCAAGTTGCGAGTGTCACCGATAAACAGAATGAAATGACTAATTACGAAATTAAAAAGGATTACAAACCTTTATCATCTTCTGCCAATACCAATATTGTGCCAAAAGAAAACATGGAAATGCCACCAATTAGCCCAACAATTATTGGAAATAATTACAATAGTGTTCAAACTGAAGCTCAATCAATGAGTGACGATAATATTACAAGTAAAATTAATGAATCTAGTCTGTTGATTGACAAAGATTACCCAGCTAGTAAGTTGATTACTGATCGCATTTGAATATATTATCAATTTAAGAATTGATTTTAATCATCTCTCTCTCTCTTTTCAGATAAATGGGAAACCAACATGGGATTTAATATATCTTTGTTTTTTTTCTCTCTCTCATTTTTTCTCTCCTTTTTCATCCCATTCTCTCTCTTCTTCTTTTTCTCATCTTTTTTCTTCTTCTCACTAATTCTATCCCGTTTCATCCATAGTCTTGTCTTTTGTCTCTATCAATTAATCCTGTTCACTCTTCTCTTTTTTCTCACCTTTTTCTCTTCTCTATCATCTTTCTTTTTTCCACTATTCTCCCTTCTATTTATCATAATATACCTTTTCCTATTTTTCTTCTTTTTCCTTTCTATTTACTTCTAAAAGGAGAGAAAAACAAAAAAAAACGAAGAACCAGAAAACAAGAAAACAAGAAAATCGAGGATAAACAAAACAAAAAGAAAAATCAACAAATCAACAAATCAACAATTTTCCCTCTCTCTCTCTCTCTTTCTCCATGCATCACAAACAAAAACACCAAAATTATATAATCGCTCTCAAATCTTTCTATTGAACAGTTGCACTGTAAACGTTGTAAAAAAATCTAATATTCTATGACATTTCTAATAAACAAATTATCACAATTGGAAAAGTTAATCCAATAAAATTGCGAAAAGAAAAATAGTTAACAAATTCAACAAAAGAGGCGCTTAAGTCTCGTAGAATTTTTCATTTTTTCTCTCAAACGAATAGTTTTGTTGTTATTTTGTTCGCTCTCTTAATTGTTGACTCTTTTTGATTGTTGTGTCTTCCGATATTCTACATCGAAACAGTTAATCAACTTAATTATAAATTCAATTTAATTGCTTCTTGTTCATTATCTCAATTCGGTGTTGAGAGAATTTCAGTTTTCTCTTTTCTCTTTTCTCTTTGTATCTTTTTACCTTTTAAAGTGTTTTTTTCTCTTCACATTCCTTTTAGTCTTATTGGTAAAAAATAGTGGAAAACATGCTTAATGTAACTTAAATATTTATCTTCTTTTATTGCAGGTTCAGTGTTAATGTGAATTCTTCAAGTGAAAACTTTTCTTCTTTAATTTTCCATTTCCCATTTTCCATTCCTCTTCTTTTCTTCAAAAATTTAATTTTCTTAATCCTTCTTTTTCTGTTGTTGGAATATCTCTTGAGTTTCTCTTTTACTACTCCTTTGGTTTTTTCTCTCTCTCGGTGTGTTCGCTGTATCCCTTTGAACTATTGTATCAGTATCTCTCTTCCTTTTGTGGTGACATCAGCATTATCTATTATATCCCCTCTCCACCTAAAAAATATGTCTGATGTTTGGGATATAATGGGTGATTTGAGTTCTCCACCGTCAACACCTTCAACCAACAATCAACAAACTGATGTTCAAAGACAATTGATGAAGAAAATGAATCCTGATGGGATGTCAAAAGAATATTTCACCTTACTTACAGATGATAATAATGATTGTCCACCTAAAGTACACAACGATTTCAGTCCAGTTGGAAGTCTTAACGATGGTTTAACTGTAGGTATCAAATTCATGTAATGTTTTGCTTTTTATTCCAACATTCTTTCACTTGTCTAAACCTCTTTTTTCTCTTTCTTTTTTTCTCTCTCACCTTTCAATGGGCTTTTTTGTATTTGTTCTTTTTTCCCTTTCTCTCTTCTGTCATTTTCTTTTTCTTTTCCCTTGTACACTATTTGTGTGCTCTCCTGACACCATCTGATCAATAGCAGCGACATGAAGTAAAGCTAAATGCCATGCCTTGGTTCCATGGGAAAATCAAGCGCGAAGAAGCCGAAAGTCTCCTGCAACCACGAGAAGATGGACTGTTCCTTGTCCGTGAAAGTACCAATTTTCCTGGTGATTATACGCTATGTGTTTGCTTTAATAACAAAGTTGAACATTACCGAGTGATCTTTAAGGATAACAAGGTGACAATTGACGAGGATGAATATTTTGACAAATTATCAGAATTAGTTGAACATTATCACAAAGATGCTGATGGTTTGTGTACCCGTTTACGGATGTCAGTTCCTAAAAGAGGTGGCCTAGAATTTTCTGCATTTGAAAAAGCGGGATGGGCTATGCCAGTAGAAGATCTTGATTTTGGTGAAGTTCGTGAGGTACTTGGAAGAGGTGAATTTGGTGATGTACGACTGGCCTATTATCGAGGACAAAAGGTTGCCGTTAAAATCTTAAAAGACTGTTCCAAAGCGGCACAAAATTTTCTCGCCGAAGCATCACTTATGACATCTCTTCGTCATCCAAATCTGGTCCAATTGATGGGTGTTGTTTTCGATGGTCCATCAATTTGTCTGGTTACCGAATACATGGCAAAAGGATCACTTGTTGACTATTTACGATCTCGAGGTCGACTCCATGTTAATAAGAAAGATCAAATTAACTTCGCTACCCATACCTGTGCCGGAATGGCTTACCTTGAATCAAAGCATGTTGTCCATCGTGATCTGGCTGCACGTAATGTCCTCATCTCAGAAGATGGAATTGCAAAAGTGTGTGATTTTGGTTTGGCACGAGAAGAATCATTCAGCCTGAGGGGAGAAAAATTCCCCATCAAGTGGACAGCCCCGGAAGCATTAAGATACAACAAATTTTCAAATAAATCGGATGTTTGGTCTTTTGGTATTCTTCTTTGGGAAATTTATTCATTCGGAAGAGTTCCATATCCTCGCATTGTAAGTATTCATCTTCTTTTAGCATTTTTATCTCTTCTCTTTCTGTATTAATCTCTTGTTTATAATTCCATCATCATTATCATCAACAATCAGAAGCCCTTGTTAGTGGAATCATTTCTTATTTCAAAATTCCTTTGACTTGTTTGTTTTCTTGTTTGCTGTCATGTGTTTATTCAGTTGCAACCATTTATTAGCATTGTTGTCAATCGTGATTATCATTATTTTCCCTCACTCACTTCTCTCTCTCTCTCTCTCTCTCTCTCTCTTGTTTTATTCTCTTTCCCTCTCTTTGAATTGCTTATTTTTTACTCTTTCTTTTTTTTTCTATCTCTCTCATAGCCATTGGATGACGTTGTTAAACATGTTGAGAAAGGATATAAAATGGAAGCACCGGAAGGATGTCCGTCTGAAATTTATGAAATAATGAAACAATCATGGGATCTTGATCCAGATAATCGGCCCACTTTTGCACTTATACTGAAAAAACTTGAACATCTAAAAACCTTGGCTGTATAAATTGAAAGACGAATGACAAATTTATATTGTTTACTGATACCGAATGAGAGATTCATGTTTGATGATGATGATGCTTACCAAAAATTCCCGATCACAATTAAACCACAACCTAAAATGCAGCATTCTTTTCAATAAGGTGTAGTTCAAACAAGAAAACAAAAGGGAAGGAGAAACAAAGTGTTAAAAGTCTTCTAAAGCCGAAGGAAAAACAAGAAAAGTGACCTCGAAAAAGGGAGAGAAGAGAAAACCAACAAGAAGGATAGAGAAGATTCGACAGCAACAGGAAAGGGAGAGAAAGAAAAAAAACAAAAGATTCAAAAGTATTGTTCTCATTTGGAAATCATGGAATAGAACAAAGAAGCAAAAAAAGAAATAGAGATAAACAAGGAAAGGAGCTGATTTATGATGAAATTTTGTTCTCTGATGGAAAAAAAAATAGATGAACTAAGAAAAGAAAGGGAAAATCAGCCAACTCACACTGTATTATATCCACAATATCATTTTATTTTTCTACTCATAACAAATCAACATGATTAACAGAAAACAACGAAACTATTAAATTCAATTGTTTTACATCATAGAAAAGAACTTTATTAAATTTCTTTAAATGTACTAATAATCAATTGGTTAATCATTTAAACTCAACGAAATTGTTTAGAACCGAAAAAAATGGACAAGTTGACAATACTTTTTCAATTGATATTCTTTATTTATTCTTAATTGTTTCAACCATTGCGGTTACATTGAATTTGGAATCACAATTAATTAATTCTGTTTTATCGTGGTACACTTTGTCTCACCCCCTTTAGTAGTACATGTTTTGTAGTTGTTACCCTCTTTACTGTTACTGTAAGTACAAACTGTTTCTCCGTTAGATGAACTGCAAGATGATGAATCCGATTCACCTTGGACGGCCGATAGAGTTGCGAGGACCAAGAAGATGGCGAAAAGAGTGAAGATTTTGAAGTTCATCGTTGAATTGGAAACTTGAGTTAACTTGATTGAAGAAAGATGAGAATTGACTGATGATTTTTTCACTGTTTTCCTCACTTTTTATACCATTTCAATTTGAATTGTTTGATTACCTGGAGCTCTAATTATAATCTAATATGATGAGAAAGACAATTGTTTAAATTTACTCTTGATCATGACTCAGGATCTTGTTAATTATAAAGTCTTTACCTAAATTAATTTTCTATGACATTTAATTGTTTGTGCTGGAAACTAAATTGTCTCATTTTGGTGGTTTATTTTCAAAGAAATCAATAATCAGAATACTAATCAGATTTATGAGATGACATTTAATCATTTGGTTCTATTAGATGTTAATTTAAATGGATTGATAATTTGTTGTGACCTTTTAACTTTCAAATTAGATTGAAAACAAACCTGATTAAATGACAAATTGATTAAAACGTATTCATCCAACTCGATATTTGAACAGTTGATTTGTTAATCATTCGCTGATTGTGTATCAAAAGGAATCGTAGTTAAAGTGCTAATTATATTTCCTTCAAGGTACAAACGCTTCTGTAAGCTCAAAGAACGAGTTAATTACCACAATTAAAAGTCACTTATTCACGAAATTAACAATTTAATTTATTGATCTATTTTGATTTAATTCATAGTAAATTCTGACTCAAAAACGGCAATTAGATTTAATTAGTAGCCTTTGGGTTGCAATTTAAAAATCTTCAACTGTAATTAATTATTTTTCCGTATTTACAATAAATAGATTAAAATTTAGTTATTAATAAATTCAATTGTTATTGTTAATTGATCAGTTGATTTCAATTTCCTCGTGTTGATTAAAGTCACTGAACAAATTAACTTGTAGCTAGAAATTTTCACTGTTTATTTTTTGTTAATTAACAATTAAACCTTAAAATTAAGTTAATCAACAAATTTTTCTTTGAAAATTCATTAAATACAATGTAATATTATAATAATTAATTTCACAGTCAACAAAATATTAATAATAAAGTGATAATTTATTAATCAAGTAATCAATTTACTCAATCTGATTTGTGTTATTTCAAATACTTTAATGAGTAAATTAATTTACATTTTAATTTTAATCATGACTAAGTAACTGATTATGGTCCTTTGGTAATTAATTCATTAGTCAAGATTTAATTGTCTCCATCTTCACATGAGAAATGGTTTCGTTAATTGGATCGATATTAACTATCATAATCGGTTGGTGTCTAGTGTCATCAGCGGTAACAATTAAATCAAAAAGAGGAAACAATCAAATCAATAGACGTGATAAACGTTTCTATTGTTTTAATTGTTGCAATAACTGTAACCGTGTACCAAGACCACGAGCCCGATCAAGGCCACGAACTCAATTTCGCCAATTACCTCCGATATTCATCTCTGGGCCACAATCGTACGCAGCTACAAGTCGACCCAATCAACTGTTCACTTATCCATCGATACCAAATTTTCCGACATTGCCCACTCTTCCGACCCTTGCGACCTTCCCGCCTCTACCTTACTGGCCTTCGATTCCAGCGGCTCCTCAATTCCCTTCCCCAGCTTTACCAGGGTTTCCGCAAGTTCCAGCACTACCTAGACTACCCCCGCCACCCTTACCTCCATTATCTGGTCTACCTCCACCTCCTGTCCCACCTCTACCACCCCCACCAGTGCCACCTCTACCGCCACCGCCGCCTCCTCCAGGTCCACCGCCGCTACCCCTTGGTTAAAAGGAGTCGAGAAAAATAATTTTAACAATTAAAATTCATTCAAATGATTTCTCAATTTTTTTCACTCTTTCAAACACCAACTTATTACAACGGTAATTATTTTAATGTATCAATGTAACAATTAGTTGATAATTAGATTTAATCAATTATCTTGATTATAAAAATATCTATTCTTTTGTTCATTCATTCAACTTCTCAATAATTTACTAATTGTTTGACCATAGAAACAAAATAACAATGTAACTAATTAATAGATAAAGTTAATAAGCACAACTTTGATCATCACGATCTAATAATTATCTAATTGTAATTAGTTGACTACCGTTTTTCATGATAACGGACATACTGGTGGTCCAAACCACGCGCTTGATCACGACCTTTAATTGCGATGATTATCAAATATTTAATCGGTTAAACGAGAAATAATCAACACGTTTCAACAGAAACTTTTCTTGTGCTGTTTCATCACAACAATTAACTGATTGCCTGAGATAAATTTTCAATTGTTATCGATAATTTAACAATAATAATGTTGATTCCATTGAGAGTCGCTATAATTTTTACTATAAAGAAATGGTTAGTTAATTAGTTGACCAAAATTTTATTTTCTCAAGCCTAATTGTAACCTAATCGGTAACAATTAACTTGCTTATTACGTCTGAGTAAACCATTGATATAAATATTGATTGTTGGTCATGATTTAAACACATTGATTGTTAGTTTTTTGGCAATTTAAAGCTCATCTACTAATTGAGATAATCATTCTAGTTAATTGTTGATTAGTCATTAACTGCAAACTGTGTTCGTGATTGTAATCAACAAACTTACTTAATTACTTCTGGTAATTTCGTTTCGTTTTTGTTGAGCTGATCAACAATTAGTTGATATTGACAATTTTAAATTTAGAGCATTAAACTTGACAATTTGATTAACCTAAGCAAATACTAAATAATCAAATTAATTTCAACTGTAATTGAATTTATTTCACTAGTAAATAACAACTTGATAATCAACAATCCAACTAATTATAAAATTTAACTATTAATTATGATTCATATAATTAATTTGTTAAATTTCATATGGTCAGTCAATTGTTATTCACCAATCGTCTTAATTGTGATTGTGTGATTCCCACTGGAAACAATTTACAAAATGATTCCGATAATCAGTTTAGTAGAGTTTATATTCATCATCTTAATTGTTATTGTTAGTTGGTGTTATGTGAATTTATCGCCATTGGTGACAATTAAGCCAACTAGACCGATGAAATCAAGTAAATCTTCAGATGATGACGATCAAATTAAAGGACGAAATAAGCGTTTCTGTTGTTCATCCTGTGGCTGTTACGGTGCACCTCGCCCTCGCCCTCGGCCACGTCCAAGACCTCGACTTCGTCCATTACCTCCCATTTTTATTTCTCGACCGCTTAGACCAACACTTCGACCCAGTCCACTTTTCACTTACCCGTCGATTCCAAATTTTCCCACCTTACCCACTCTTCCCTCAATACCCACTTTCCCTCCTTTACCTCGTTGGCCCTCGATTCCGCCCTTTTCTCGGTTCACTTTCCCCCGAATCCCAAATTTTCCGCCGATTCCACCTCTCCCTCGCTTACCCCGCCACCCTTACCTCCATTATCTGGTCTACCTCCACCTCCTGTCCCACCTCTACCTCCCCCACCAGTACCTCCTTTACCACCGCCGCCGATTCCAGGTCGTTAAAATCAACTCAACATTTAAAGGACAATCAAATCAATCAAACAAGTCTAATTAATCACTCGAGACAATCTCAACAATTTCAATTAATCAATAATCAAACTAATTCGTTAACCATTAATAGTATCAAAGTCGATAAAAAAAACCGACGATATCTGAACCTCTGATAATCAAGCAACAATTAAACAAACGGAGCTAAAAACTGTTTCCTGGTTAATTAAAAGTCAACCTCGTTGATTAACGCTAATTGTTATTATGAACAATCAAATTACATGAAAACAACAATAAAAACGTTTTAATGATAATCATTTTTTGCTTAATGATTAACACACAATCAAGGTGAATACTTATCTCAAATTGTAACAATGATCAATAGCCTTTACCTTTAAAAGATTGACTTGATTGTCACCAAATGATTAAACAATTTAGTTAATTGTTCTAATCTTGATGAAAATATTTACATGGAAAATTTTTGTAATCATAATTGTACCACTGTAATTGTATAATTAAGTGATAACAATTAAATCGTAAACCAGAAAACTCACCAAGTCCTAATTACATTTGTAATTTACAAATAACAATTAGTTAATCAACTTTCATATTATTCTGATTGAATTGAATTAAATTGTGAGACAATCAATTGTTATCAACAAGTCTAATCCTCACTTTTACAATTTACTAATTATCTTGATTTGGTTTACCAATTTATGTATTTATTAGGAATTTAATTTAACTAATTAATTGTTGCAATTATGAAATATTGCTATTTAAATAAAGTCACTTGTTTCAATCGGTTAATTGTTATCGGAACAATTTAGATAAGTTAATTGTTAAAAACTTTTCATCATTCAATTAACTCATGCTAATCAACACATACACTTTTGATTGATTAGATTATCCAATAATATCAAATAAACAATCATAACAATTAATTGTCACAATCAAGACAATTAATGGAAAAATTTTCAACAGGAAAGGAAAATCAAAGTCGAAGTGTTAACATAATTGTGATTGAGTAAATTGTTTCTCGTTTTTATTTATTAATTACACAATTAATCTGCTTTATAACCTCATAAAAATGCCTTTAATCAATTAATTAGTTAATTGTTTGTCTAATTACTTCAACTTGACTACTGGAGGTTTCCCAAAACAAATCAAAAGTTAATCAACTCTTAAAGTTTTTTTCCTCACTAATTGTAACCATTTTTATTAATCTAATTAATGAATTTGTTTTCATATTTAATCTTGATTAATGATTGATTATTGTGATTATTATCATTGATTAAATGTTGATTGAATTAACAACGAGAGTCAATATAACAATCAAAATATAATCAAGTTAATCTAATTCCGCCCATTTAATTATTATTAATTATTAATAGTTGTGGTTTTTTTAGTAAATGAATCAGTATTAATTGTAACAATTAGTGGAACAGGTTAACAAAGACAATTAAAACTTTCTATTTGATTTAGTTAATTGTGATTGACTGAAAAAATAATAATCATCATTCAATTAATGATTTTATTAAATAATTTCATCAAATTTTCATCGTTATTTATATTAATAGTTAATCAATTGTTGCTTTTTATGCAATTAAGTGATTCCAATTCAATTTATTATTAGGTTTTTGTGTTAATTGTGATAATTAAAATGCCAAATAAAAAGTTTAACGGATTAAAATCTTCAAATAAAACTGAATCTAAGACGAGTCTTGATACAAATTCAGTAAGTAAAAGTTGTTGATTTAATCATCAAACGAATCAAGCTAATTGTTAACAATTAAATCATTTCGATTTTTAGACATTTGATAGTTACAGCGGTGGAGAAGAATCAAATTTAATCAAAAAGAAACATGGGATGAGCACTTTGGTGGCTATTTTGTTTATCGCCGGTGAGAACGCAGGTTGTGGGGTCTTGGCTTTGCCCTTTTCCTTTGACCGCACGGGATGGAGCGGACTTCCGTTGCTACTCATGTGTTGGCTTGACGCTGGAATCTGTGGCATTCTGATCGGTAAATGTTGGCTCATTCTCGAGGAGAGATGGCCTAAGTTCCGACAGTCATGTCGTAATCCATACGCGGCAATCGGTCAAATGGCTTATGGCAATAAGATGAAGTGAGTTTCTTGTTTTTTAATTGTTCCAAATTCATTATCATTAACTAATCAACACCAAGGTTTAGTTTGTTTTCTGTGAGAAACTAATTACGTTTTAAATTATCTTCCATTTCGTTAATTGTGATTTAGGGTAATTGTCTCGATCTGTTTACAAGTTTCCCTTCTTGGATCAGCTGTTGTGATATTGTTAATTTGTGCCGAGTTAATTGCTCAATTTGTCGATCAATATTTCCATTTGCCATTCGCTTTATGGATTTTAATTGTTTCGATTGTCCTATTACCCTTTATGATGCTTGGATCGCCAGGGGAAATGTGGCCTGTGGCCGCTGGCGCCCTACTGACCATTACAACGGCCATTGTTTTAATCATGATCGATACGAGTAAAGATTTCATTGAAGCCGATGGTAAACCAGCACCAACCACCCCACCCACCGTGTCCAGTGTCTCACTGGCCTTTGGTACTTTTATTTTTGCCTTCGGAGGAACTGCCGTTTTCCCAAACTATCAAAATGACATGAAAAACAAGTCCAAATTTCCCAAGGCCGTTATCATTGGTTATATTAGTAAGTTCATTTCTCAATCAATTCCCCCAACAATTAGCTAATTGTTTCTTCATCTTTTAATCATCAGTGTTAATTGTCCTCTATATTCCGATCGCGGTCATGGGATATCTGACCTATGGTTCGAGCGTTAAAAACAATATAATCTCATCAATTCCGAACGGAGTGAAAAAAGATGCCGCCATTTTGTTATTATCTGGACATTTGTTTTTTGCATTTCTAATTGTTGCCAATGGAGCAATTCTGGAGATTGAACATCAACTGAAAGTACCAAATCGTAAGCATTTTAATTGTAAACAATTAAAACCAATCAACGATCAAATTACAATAACAACAATCATGTAACTTGAAACATTTGAAATCTTTGGACTTTTCAAAAATTTTGATTAATTTGTTTCCAATTGATTGTTTGTTTCGTGTTTTTTTAATAGGATTTGGATGGAAACGTTTAATTGTCAGGACAATTACCTTAATTGTTGTTGTTTTCATCAGTGAAACTATTCCTAAATTTGGTAAAATACTTGACCTAATGGGAGGCTCAGCGATCACCATGTTGGCTTATATTTTACCTCCACTTTTTTACATGAAACTTTGCTCAATGAGAGACGATAACAATTCCTGGCCTGTTTGGTGAGTTAATTAGTTAATTATTTGCAATCAATTATCAACTAATCAATTGATTATCTGTTAATTCAACCCCACAGGAAGGTTTCATTGATCGAAAAAATTTACTATTATAAGATAACAATCGTCGGTACAATCGGCGGAATCTCTTGTACATTTTGGGCTCTAAAGGCGATTCTCGCTCCCGATGCTTTCTCACTGCCTTGTTACATTGATTTTAATTGTTCCAATGAATAATTAATCAACAATTAACATCACAATCATCATGTTAATACTTAATCATTGATTAATTTAATCGTATATCATGTTACCTTATTTTGTACTTACCATTTACATTGATCGTTGTTTTTGTTTTTCCAATTTGTTATCGACTTGATTGTAAATCTCACAATTAAAAGTTCAATATTCTGACAATTTATTAATTGTTGTTAGTTAATTAATTCGTAGTTTAAATTACAGCAATTGCTTTTCTGGTTTCTCTCTATTTAACTGGTTCAATTTTTTCCCTTTTCTTTATTTTGTTAATTTTGTTTGATTGTTTAATTAACTGTTTAGCCACAATTACATGATTTGATTAATTAATTTGATTCTTTGTCATTTAACTTTTAAGTTTAGTGATCAGTTGAAGATTTTAATTGTCATTAACTATCAAGTATTGACAAATTTTTCCTCTCTCTCTTTCTCTTCTTGTGATTAGTTAACAATTAAATTTTAATTGTAAAGTGATGAAATCAGCAAATGATTTACTAAAATGTTGACAATTAAATTTACAAAAATACTTTTGTAATGTATTTATGAACCGAATCAACATTAATTGTGATAATTTTCAATCAACGTCATTGATAATTAATCAACATCAAAATCAAATCAATTATCATGATTAAATTAATTTCTAATTTGTTGTGGATCCTTCAATTAATCAGCTCAATGAAATGCGTTAATTTAAAATCTGATAATCAATTTAAATTGCGACCAATTGAAAGAATCAAATTGAATCCAGTCCACCAAACGGCGACAATTAAAACTATTCGTGGGAAACGTTTTTGCTTAGATTTACTCGGTGGGTGTGGAAACTGCGGCGGTCAAGTTTACCGACGACCAAGGCCACAGCCTCGACCAGCAGTCCAATACTATCAACCTGTTTACTATCCATATCCGGTTCCGGTCCAGGCACCGGCACCTGGACCAGCGCCTCAGCCACAAGCCTCCACAGCCGCACCGAAAGCCGCAGGCGAGGCAAAAGCACCAGCCAAGAAAAAGCCTCCACCGGCGCGAAAGCCTCCGCCGAATGTGCCAAAGGCCAAACCTCCACCGCCTCGCAAGGCACCGCCGAAAAAAGGTCCACCCAATGCTGCGAAACCACCGGCGAAACCCGCAGGCAAACCACCGGCTAAAAAGAAGCCTCCAGCGAAAAAGCCTCCAGCTAAAAAGAAACCGAAAAAAGGTAAGAAGGGAAAAGGTTAATCGTTAATTAGTGTATTAATTGTAAAGGTGTTTAACAAATGTTTAATTAAAAGTGTAACAATTGTTGTTTTGTTTTAAGTTCAAACTTTTTGTTTGCGTTTATTAATTTGTTTTGATGAATATTGGAATTGAAAATTGAACACAAAAAACAAATGATCAAATTGTTTCATTGATCTTAATTCTGTCACTGGAAATCAAATTGAATTTTGGGTTGTTGTAACTAATTGTTTCATCAATTAGTATGGTTATTATCATAGTGAGATAATTTTAAAGAGATAGATAGAGATTGAGAGAGATAAAGATAGAGAGACAGGGTTTTTTATAATGAATTACAAAATTGTTAATAGTTTAAACCAAGAAATGATATTGTTTCAATCATTTTTTGTTTTATATCAATTAGTTAGCTGCAGCAGCGGTTTCACTGGGTTGTTCAACGGTTTCTTCGGGTTTCTTTTGATCGGCGTCACTTGCTGCAACTTCATCTGGTTTATTAGCTAGTTCAGTACTTTCTGCCGCTGGTTTTTCAGTTGATGATGATGATGATGATTGTTCTACTACCTTTGCATCCTCCACTTCAGGTTTGGATTCAGTAGCTGCAGCTGAGTTAGCTTCTTCGGACACTGGTTCTTCAGCATCAACCTTTTCGGTTTCACTTGATTCAACAGGAACTTCTTCTTTGGCTTCTGTCTTTTCTTCGGTGTGACCGTTTGCAGCTGCTGCTTCTGAGGTTCCATTAGAGGTTCCATTTTTTTCAGTAGATTCCTCAACATCTACCTTATCTTCAACTACTTCAGATTTACCATTAGTGGTTTCGACTTCTTTAACCTCTTTAACAGCTTCGGTAGATGGGGTGACTTCATCAACTGAATCAATACCATCGAGTTTACTTTTCTTGATCTCAATGGCATCACCATCGACTTGTCCATCTTTAACTGGGGTGGAAACTCTCTTGGTGCTTCTTGTTTGTGGCATGTTGATAATATTAGTAAATGTATTTAACTTGAATTAAGAAGAAAAGAGAAAGAAAATAAAGAATAATAAAATAAATTACACTTAACAAAAGGATACAAAAATAAAATAGAATTAAAAAAAAGTAACAACCGACTTATCAACTACTTATAGAGAAAAGCACAATCAAACCAAAAAGCATCCACACTTTTAAAAGTAAAGGAAAAAAAAGAGTAGAAAAAGAAGCAACAGTATGCGAAAAGAAAAAAATGAGAATAAAGTAACGAGACAGAAAGTAGACAGAGAAAAAAAGAAAGAGAATTAAAAAGAAGAGGGAGAAGAATAAGAGGAACCAGACATAGACATAAAATGTATAATAGAAAAGTAATGTAGATATCCAATACAGACACAAGCATAGAGAAAAAGTATATATAAAATTTTAACCAGCAGAAGAGAGAAAAAAGAAAAGAAAGAAAGAGAAGATAGAAAGAGCGAGAACAAAAGGAAAGAAGAAAGAAAGAGGAATCGCAATCAGAATCCAGAAAAAGAAGAGAAAGAAAGAGAAAAAGAAAGAGAAAGAGAGAAAAAAAAGAGAAGGCGAAGAAAAACCAAAAAGGAAACTCAACAAATTGAATGGACACCAAAAATTAATTAAAAAAATGTAACAATCTAATTAACAACACTTACCTTGATAAGATGAAAGGGTAATAAATAATTTGATAATCAATTTAAGCGAAAATTTAATAATAATTTGAACAAAAAAATTAAATAAAAATTAGAATAACAAGAATAAGAAAAGATGATGTCTGAGGATCAACTAATAACGTCTAAATGCGGTAAGAGAAAAAAAATTGTGCAAAATGGCGGGTAGAGCAAAAATTCTCTTCTCTCATTGGTCCGTTTCTTCGACAAGCCGGTCGAATGTGCTGCCATCTGGGCTTCTCTTTTTCGGTTAACTTAAATTCTCTTTTCAATAATCTCATTCAGAGTTTTATTGTTAATTGTTGAATATCAGCAATTTAATTGTGATCATCATTTGTTAATTGTAACCAATTTAGTTTACAAGTTCATCATTATTTCATTTCTCTGTTAATTGTGTGTGTGTTTCGATTTATTTTTATTCTGTTTTCCAATTGATTTTTGTCTAGTTCATTTCTCTTTTCGGTTTTTTCTTTCTTTCTCTTTTTGATTGGCTTGGTTTGTTTCAATTTAATCAGTTCAATGTATTTTTCTCTATTCTCTTCATCTTTTTTTTTCTCTCCTGCTCTCTATGGTCTCTTTTTATCATACACTTTGCGTGCATTTACCTTCTTTCTTTTTTTTCTTTTTCCTAAAATGTTGCTCCTTCTCTTTTCTTCTTTCTTAGAGTGAAAAGAGAGAGAGAGAGAGCTACACTTTTCTCATCATCTGTTCTTTTTGATGCCATTACTCTTGTTTGCTGGTTTTCTTTTCTCTCTTATCCAACTTGTATTTTTTTCTGGAATATGTTTTATGTGTGTCTGTGTGTGCGTTTTATGCTTACATCTTTTTCTTGAGAAGAATAAAAGTAAGAGTCTCTTGGACCGACCTTGATTGATTTGTGTAATGAGAGAGGAAGAGAGGAGAAAAAAAAATTTAAGGCTAAGCCGGCTTGATGTTAACAACTATATCATTGACTTGGTGAAGGATCTTTTTTTAATTTTGTGTAAACTTATTACATTACAAATCATTTGTAATGTTTATTATCTTCAGCGCGTGCATTTTCAGGATTAATTGGATTGTGAGCTAATTGTTTTAGTTTGTTAATTAGTGGAAATTGTTGGAGGACAAAGGAAGTTTTCAACTGTCTTCAATTTGTCCTCTTCCAAGTTAATCCAAAATACCATTTGGTTCAATTTTAATCATGAGAAACATATTAAAACATGTTTTCTCTCATTTTCAATCTTTCATCTTTCTCTCTCTCTCTCTCTCTCTCTCTCTCTCTCTCTCTTTGTTTGAACGATATTTCCTGTTGAGCTTCTATTCAGTGAATAGATTTTTATCCATTACGTAGTAAAGAGTGGGAGGAGAAGAGGAAGATGGTGAAATATTTTTCTTGACTATTTTTCCTCATCAAAGAATCTGAACTTGACCTGAAATAACCTTATCCTTTTCAGGGCCAAATCCATGCTCAGTATCAACATGTCTGAGTTTAGATGGTGATGATGCCTAATGAATGGTTACCTTAGTGTTCACAAAGTCTATGGATGAAGAATGATGATGACATAACCAATTGTAGATATCATATACTCGATGGCATTTACAGTTTTTATCCTGAAATGTGTTCAGTGGGTTTAAGTGTAATGAGATGAAAGTTTTTCCAGTATTGCGCATAAATGAATTGTTTTCACTCGTCGATCCCCAGTATTTATTGATTTTACTTACAGTAGAATCGCTTTAAGTTGTACAAGATATAAATATACTGGTACATCTACAATAACAAATATATTTGAGAAAATGAGGGGGAGGAAGGAAGAAGAAGTAGAAGGCAAATGACAGGGAAAAGAACCGAGGTAACTAAACTCGAAGATGGAGAGGAAAAGAAGCAGAAGAAGAGAAAGAAATGAAAGAGGGAAAAGGTGGAGATCTCTTTTTCTTTCAATAGACACGATTAAAGATACAGAAGCTAAATGATGAACAGAGGGAGGTAAGAAGAAGAGGGAAGACAGGAAAAGAATACTAAGAATCGAACAAACTAGATACAAGAAGAAATAAAAGGAATAAGTTTGTTGACTGGGAAAATGATGAAGGTATAAAAATGAGGAGAGAGAGAGAGAAGGTAAATCGATTCAGTCGACCTGAAAGGCTACTGTTGAAGAAGATTTTCAACGGAATAGCAGAAAAGTAGTAATATTAAGTAGAAAAAGAAAGAGCTAGAAGAAAGAGGAGTGAGGAGGAGGAGTAGAAAGGAAAATCCAAGAAAGAGAGAGAGAGAAGGATGATTATGACGATGATGATGAAAAGAGATGAATGGAGAAGATGATAAAGTAAAAAAAGAGGTTGATTCAATACTCGGTAATTCTGGTGAGCGGACAACAAGCTACCTTTCTGGTGAGGCCAAAAAAGTTGTTTCTAAGGTGATTTTTTTATTTACAAAACTCAGTTCTAAAGAAATAAGAAAATGAGAGTGAGAGTGAGAGTGAGAAAAAGATGAACACAACTAAAGTGAGAGACACAGAGAGGGAAACAAGGCTAGGGAGAGAAAGAGAGACAGAAAGAAAGTAAAGATTTAAGATGAAAGAGAAGTTAAAGAAAATGATGATGAAGGGAAAGCGGGAAAAGAAAGAGGGAAAATCTAACACAGAGAAAGGAAAGAGAATTAAGTAGAAAGAAGAAGAAAAAAAGGAATTCGGAGAAGCTGAAGAAAAAACAAGAGAGATGATGAAAAGATAAGAAAGTAAAACGATATAAATGAATGGATATTTCTTTTATATCAAGAAAGAATATGAATTGTAAGAGAGAAAAAAAAAGATAGAGAAAGAGAGAAAGAAAGAGATGTGGGTGAGAGAGAGAGAGAGAAAAAAAGAAACACAAGCAAAATGATCATGAGAGAAAAGAATTTATAAGTTGAATAATCTTCCAATGGGATAACCAAAATCACAGAAATTGAAACTTATTACCAATCGAATGAGAAACTAACAAGTATTAATCAAATTAACGATTATTTCAACTTCCGTTGTTAACAAAGTGATTAAAATCATTAGAAAGAATAAAATTGAAACTCAGAGAGAAACAAAGAGAGAATAATAAATAATCAAGATGGAAGAGAAAAGAAAAAAAAAGATTAATCCAATTCTCTGATTCTAATTGGTTGAACTTCGGGAGGAGAAAAACACAAAAGGGGGAAAAGAGAATAGAAAAGAAAATTAAACCGGAATCTTTTCTTTTCTTCTTTCAACTTAACCTTCATCATGAGAGCGTAACATGAAAAGTCCGAATAGACAAATGATATGATTCAATTGTTATCATCAAGACAGAGTTTATATAATCTGAAAGCTTTAACAGGTTTTACTTTCGCAATGGTGATGTGGTTAAAGGATAAACCAAATTAATCATCATAATAATCTCAAAATGTTAATCTTATTCTGAGAAAGGGAGAGAGGAGAGAGAGAGAAAGTTGATTTTCTCTTCTTGTTTTTCCTTCTTCATTATCTCCTTGTGGTTGTGTTTCCGTTTCCATCTTTGTTAACCCATTACATGTTTTGTCTTTCTGGTTAAACAAATTAAATTGTAATTATTGTGATTATTAATTCTCAAGAGAATGTGTTGATTGTTTTTCCCTCGTTGTTATTGTTACTTGTTGTGGGATTTAATTGATTATCTTTTGCCTTTGGTTCCTTTTCTTGTTTTTCCAATTGGCTTTGTTATTGTTATTGGTGAATGTTTGAGCAATTCAATTGTGCGTTGCGTTGATTAATTGATTAGGGGGATTTTAGAGATTATAGATTTCGGTTAAAACAAAACAAAACCTTACATTAAATGAGTATATTATAAGAATTGAAGATTCTACAGGAGAAAAAAAAATAATTAACAAAATAGAAAAATGTATTTACAAATATTATCTCTTTTGGATTAGGAGATAGTGATTAGTGATTAGTGATTAGGGGACATGAAAAGGTTTGGCAATTAGTAGAAAAGTAGAAATTAATTGATTGTTTTGATTACTGATTACAAATTGTTGTCTTTGTATGGCAGCGTTTTGAGTATCCTTGATGAAATTTCCAAGGGATTAATTAGCGATTTTAATAAATATCCTTTTGAGAGAAAGAGCCAATAAGTTGTGATTAATTGATTCCTAATTAATGTTCGATAAATTATCTCAACACTTTGATTCATTTTCTCTCTTTTTCTCTTCCAAAATACTTTTCAGTTTCTCTTCGATTATTGGTATTGGTTTGTCAATCTTTTTCTCTTTGTCACTTTGATTTAATGTTGTCTTTTTGTCGGTCAATTGTTTTCCATGATCAATCAGTTTAGATTTCTCGCAATTTACATCTTCGACTAATTTGAGATTCTCATATTTCGTCGGTGTTTCCTTTCCGTTTGTTTCGTTTTTTACAGTTTGTTTGTCGATTTCTTCGGTTCTTGGTTTTTCTTGCTTTTCTTTTTCGGTCATTTTTTCTTCTTCTTCGTTTTTTCCCGATGATTCTTTTTGACCTTTCGGCTTATGATACTGTTCGATACAAAGGTGACAACTCCAAGATCCTTCCGGTGGTTCCGAAATCGGTGGTGTTAAACAGTACATATGATAACCTCGATCACAATCGTCACAGAATAAAAGTTGTTCCTAAAGCGAGAGAGAGAGAGAGAAAATGAAGAAACGTGAGAATTGATTTACAATCACAATGAGAATTTGATTGATCACTTACATCATTATCTGAGGTTCCACAGATTCCACAGGATTTACACTCAATGCACTGCCATCGATATTTAGCCACAGAGATGATCATTTGTGGGGTAAATTGAAGACAAGATGGATGAGCTGAACGGCCGCAATCAGAACAAGAAACCATTTTCTCTTGAATTTTACTCTTCTCATTTTCATCAACGAGACAAAAATCACAATAAGGATTAGGAGTGGCCAAGGGTTTATCTAAGTAAACAAAAGGAAATATAATCAGATTCATGATTGACTGAGTTTCAAGATTCAACTTACTGTTTGAATCTTTATTTGTAAATGGACCATTTCCAGATTGATTGTTACCCGTTGTAGTTGAATTGTTGTTACGTGTTGATGAGCGACTATCTTCATCTACCATCGACATTGGTGTTGAGCTTTTGGAACGTTTATCTCCATCATTCTGATGGTTATGAGCATAATGATAAGTGAGTCCAGGTCGTGTTTTGTATCGAGCATCACAAAGATCACAAGCATAAGGTTTGTCGTTTTCTCCTGATTCTCCTTTTTTCCGCCGTGATCTTCTTTTCTTCCGTTTTGTTGAGTATTCATCATAATCATCTCCATCTGAAACTGGATCATCAAAATCTTCTTCCATCAAATCAATACTATCCTCATATTCAGCATACATCCAAGCATCTTTCGAGTTTTCAACAAATTTATCTGAACTATTTTGATTCAATTCCGATGTTGATGTTGTTGTTCCTCCTCCTGTCACTCCTCCAGTCGCTCCTCCGGCCATTGATGTTCCTGTTGTACTCGTTGTTGTTGTCAAATCATTTTTCATTGATATCATTTCGGAACCATTTCCTTTGCTTATCTCTTGAATGTCACCCGAGTTCTCATTAATCGCTTGACTTCTTGAATAGTAATTCTCACGGAATAGATAACCTCGTCTTCTTTTCTTCCATTTATGGGCTGGGTACGTGTACAATTGTCCATAGGTTGTTCCAGGCATCCGTTGCCATCTCTGCATCCAAAGGTAACAATCTCGTTGAGCTACACCAGTTTGAGAATCAATAAAAGGTAAACGTGTTTTCCGATCAACAACCAATCGATTATTATATTTAGCTGAATTTTCAATTGCATTTCTATAAGAAATATCACTCAGCGCTCTGGAACAAAAAATTGAAAGATATAAAAGAAACAAAATATTATAATAAAGAAACACAAAAAACAGTTGAGAGAAAATGTCAAAATGATGTAAACACAACAACTGTCAATCCATAGGATGAGGTGACACTTTATCTTGGGAAAAACACTAATTCACATGGTGATAAACTTTCCAGTTAAAAATTGAATGTAAAACAAATTGATTACATTGCCGATGGAATAGAATTTAAATTAAAATCGATTGTAAATCACAGACAATCTAAAGAGAAAATAATTGAAATAATCATCACTTGAGAAAATATAACTTACTTTTCAATCTTCTGAAGGACATTCGGTCTTAAGTTGGATAATTTTTGTTTGTCCATCTTCAAGGATGGAACAATTATCCGAATAGAATTAAAATGGCGACGGTTAATCAAGAAAATGGAGAAAATTACAAACCCAATAGAAAGATGGATACACTAAAATTGGAGGAAAAAAAAAAGACAAATTGAAAGACAGAGAGAAAGAGAGAAAGAAAGAGAAAGATAGAAGATGAAAAAAGAGCCACAACTACAGAAAGAAACAGAACAAAGAAAAGATCCAACAGGAGAAAAGAAAGAAAATGATGAAGAAAATTTCGCTTCGATGGATAAATTGTCCTTCTTTTCCTTGGGATAAGTTGGAATAAACAAATTCACTCAATAATCGAATATCGAAAAGTAAATTAATCAACTTAATCACTACAATCCAGAGACAATTACAAAGGTTAAATGAAGAAAGAAATTAAAAAAAAAAGATGAAGATAAACAACTAACCTTGGATCAAGTTGATTCTTCAAGTGAACAAGTTAAACTGATTTTCTGGTCAACAACAAGAATCAAGTTCTTACCTGATTTACTTGATCTCTTAACCTTGATTGTAATTAATCTTTGAAAGGCCAACAGTTAATCACTAAATTGTGACCTGTTCATGTTCAGATTAATGGATTATAAGAGTCAATTCAATTCGGTTAGATTGTTTGTCTTAATTGTTGTTTGATTTTCGTTTATTTTTTAAAATTGTTACATTTTTAACTTTACAATTTGATTGACAATTTAGATGGACACAAATTACAATTTATTGTTAATCATATTAACATGGATAATCAGTTGATTGTTTGGTGATTACCAGAAGTAATTAAAACCCATTAATGGCATAACTGGATAACCGTAACCGTAACCATAACCATAACCATAACCTTAAAATTAGAGTGAGAAATTAGTTAATTAGTTTGAGTTAATTGTTTTAAGAAGTTAATTAATTGTCTACAATTTACTTACCATCGGACATCCAATGATGATGTCGAGATTTAATCACAGTTTCGTTGATTGGTTGTTGATTTAGTTGATCATCAGATCCAATTAGACCGTTGGTTACATTGATTTGGTTAATTGGGTTACAATTAATTGAACAAAAAGCAATTACAATTAAAAATGTGATCAAATAAATTGTTTGCTGTTGATTTAATATCATCTTTTCACTTTCTTTCAATTAATTGTTTTCTTCTCGTTGATTGTTGGCTAATTGTGATCTTACAATTGTCTAAGTATTTACTATTTATAAACAATTCGATGAGCACTTAATTGTTACACTAATTGTAGGAGTGATCATTAGTTGACATAATTACAATTTGATGATCATTGGTGTTCAGGTTTACCACAATTAGATTTGATTGTTGAATCGAAAATAACAATTGAAATTATCAAATTGGACAATTTATTTTTCTATCAAATGAGTAAATTGATTAGTGGAAAAAGGTGATTACCGATAATCAATTGATCAGCAGAAAATATTTTCAATTGAATTAGCTAATAGTTAAGAATTGTTGAAAAACAATGTGACAATTAAAATATCACTTTAATAATGATCACAATTTAATTTCTGACCTTCAATTGTGTAACAATCGACATGTAAACAATTAAATTGTTACAAATAAATACAGGTGATCATTTGAAAGTTTGATTGACAATCAGAAACTGAATCAATTAAACAATTGATTATGTTGGATAATCATAATAATCTGATTGATCATTTTCTCTCAAAAAATTAATACGATTTTCGATACAACAATTTGACCTGAAATCGAAAACACCAATAGAAAGTTATTCAAATCGAGAAGCGATTCTTTCGCTAATCAAGTTAATCGTTGATTAATCTAATTAATTGAAAATTATTCGCTTTCCGGTAAATAGAAACTAAAGGAACGAAGTTGATTATGATGATGCTAACAAACGATTTATTTGTTAATTGTTGTATCGAAAATAACAAAATAATAAGATCTGATTGATTAATTTGCAGGTTGATTAACGGAATTGAAGTGTTAATCATATGGTTAATTAAATGGATGAAGAAAAGATAATTAATATTGATAATTTCACGGATCCATTGACGGTGGTGGTTGTGTTGATTTCTCATGGTAATCAGGGAATAATTTAATCAAGATTTGATCAAGACAATGATTAACTTCAGGTTTAGTCTTGTTAATTAACTCGGCTCTGCAAATTGGACATGTTGAAACTGATGATTTCATTGAGTGATTGAAACATTCCTGTAAGTTTAAAGTTAATTTAGAAAAGTTAATTAGTTGAAAAAGAGAAAAAAAAATTTCAATTGCTAATTGGATATTGAAATAAATTACCTGGCAAATATTATGCGAGCAGAATGTTGTAATTGGCTTGACCACAATGTCCAAGCAACAGGAACATCTGAATGACTCTTCAACTCGCCAGAGAAAAGCCTATGGGATAAACAACAAAGACAATTGGTTAATTATCGATTTAGATTATTAGTTAATTGTAATGGAAATCTAATTACCTTTTCTCCTTCGAGAGCTGATTTGATTATTTCTTCCCAGAGGTGACAGTTTTTCGTATCTTGATTAATTAACTCGACGATTGTTGAAGGTACTTTGTATGGAACAATTTTACTTCGTTTAAATTGTTGATCGTAATTACAATCGATTGATTTGTTTGTTGATCTTTTACGTTTTCGATTTGTGGGATTGGCTGAAAGACTCTCAACATAACCTGGAGGTTCGATGAGAGATAATTCGAGCTTTCGAATTTTTCTTTTACCTTCTTTCGTCCATGGCGAAGGCGCCTCATCATCCCGTCTCAGAAGATATCTCCAAATTAACAGGCCATTTGTCTTCCTTTCCGACCAATATTTGACCACTTTGTAGATTCCATCATATCGAACACCAAGTTTAGGTAAATAGGGAGATTTTTTAGTTGACCCTCGAGCATTTCCACTTCTTAAAACTCTCACCGGTTTACCTAATCTCCAATTTTGACCTGAATTAGCGCCTTCATCCGAAAATGGAGCATAACAATTAATAGCCAAAGATTTATTACATCGAGTTAATTGTTGATCTTTTATTTGTGGTCCACCAACTCGACATTTACTTGCTGATGATTCTTTGCCACCCGAACCAGTGAAATAAATTTCCTCGCCCAGGTCAATATCATCCTCGTACCCACAGCAAAAACAATTGAAAAGGCACCGATTGATTGTTTACCATGAATTCCAGCGACCAAAGGAGTGTGAACACCAGCCTCTGAGGCCTGAAATCGAAATCGCCAAATTGTTCCAACAGGAACTCCAGGGATTGGACCGAAATGGTACTTGGGTACAACCTCACAAACTTTTGTTCGTCCAATACAACTGATACCCCGGCCCCAATTAGCTAATAGCTGTCCGGAAGAGAGGGTTTGATGTGATGAAGTGCTATTAGTGTTAACATTGTCATCGGCTTCTTTCAAATTGATTGCACTGGAAGTTGATGAGGTTGAAGGTGATTTCCTTTTCCTTTTCAACCCTTTAGCCAATCTAGAGGCTTCTTCTTTCATCTCAATGTCAACGGCATCTGTATTCTTACACTTATAACAATACCAATCTTCATCTTCCGGCGGAAGAGATTCAAGGGCTTGGGGTAAACACCAAAGGTGGAAAACATTGTTACATTCATCACAGACAATCTGCTTCTCAGGGTCACCTTTAGATCCACAAAATTTACACGAACACTCAGTGCAAAGAGAATCAGGATCATCGGAACAATTTGAACATTCACTTAATGTGATTCCTTAAATTGTTCAAGAAACAAAAAAAACGAAAGACAATCAAATTAAAAGACCGATCAACTTTAAGATTTACTTTCCAATGGTGAGACAAAGAGTCAAAGAAAAACTTTTTCTCTATCCACTTAATCGAAACTCTAAGAAAACTTTTAGAGAAAATTTGTTTCGAATATGAATAGAACCAAAACAACCGAACATTGGCACTTTGGCCTTGAATAACTTCCGATTAATAAGAAACAGAATTGAAGATTACCATTGAAAAGCTTGTGAAAAACTCTATCAGCTGAAAAGTCGGATCTTGACTGAAAAGAATAAAAATTTCAAATTCTCCTTCAATTCTGATCAACTCAATTATGAAGAAACTTTTCCCCCAAAATGATGGACAAAAAATTGAATCGATATCCGATCAGATTAATGATCGAAACGATATCTTGTTTCGTAACTTTTGTCAAATTGTTTCGATTTTTGTTCATTAATCTTAATTGTTAAGAAAAGGAAACTCTTTGTTTTCTTTCATCTTTACAATTAGATTTCTAATCTTATTCAAATTCTTGTAATAAATCACAAATCTAACGGATATTGATCATCTTAAATTGTGGAACAAGTGGAATCAAGTATCAATTACAATTTCTTTCCTATGAGTATCTTAACCCTTTTCCCAATATTCCTTTCGCACCTTAACCTTTACACTATTCAATTAACAATTAATAACTTTTTCTCTCAATCTCAATTTCCCTTTTTTACTTGAATACAATCAAGAATCGTCCTTTATCTAGTAAAAAACGGTCTCTCCAGTGAAAATCCGATCGGAAGTAATAATTGTATTTCTTTGATAAGGTAAAGAAGAAGGAGAAAAAAAAATGGCGAAGATCAGTTGGAAAGGCCTAAGAGTTGGAACAAAAAAACTTCTTTGACTCTCATAGACATAATTGACTGATTATCATCATTTCCTATCGATTGGTAAAGAAAAGGAACCAAAGAGGAAGTGAAGTGGTTTCCATTAGAAGAGGAAATAAAAAAGCGAATGAAAAAACGGACAAAAGAGGAGCTACATTTGTCTATGGAAAAAAAAGTTCGGTTATATTGCCACACGACCTTAGTTGGTACTATGGAGATGAAAGGGTTGGAGAAAAAAAATAGAATTCGAACAAAAAAGTGATCCAATTGCTTCTAAAGCAAATTTACTCTTTTTTTTTCTTCGATCGCTATTCAATCGACTCCATTTTCTTTCCCTCTAGGCCAATGTTTTCATTAGAATCAACGGAAACTTTTTTTCCTCTTCAAGAATATCTAATGAGATCTCCAAGCAAAGAAAACATAACAATCCCTTGGAATATTAATGTTATGGTTGCAAATGATTCTTTTCATCAAAGGTAATTTACTTTTCTCTCTGAACATTCAATTCGTTAATTCAGCAATCAAATTTGATTGAAACTTACTTTTCTTCTCTGACCCATTGGCGATCAATTTGGCTTGGCGATTGTTTCTCTCTACTGATGGTAAATTGCCTTGGGTCACATAGAAAACCGAATTACCAGTTAAACGATGATCGTCCAGTGTGACCTTATCGCCGATAAAAAGTATCCCTTGGACTAATTTCCTCTTAATATTTACACTGGTAATCAGGTAATCGTACCAATAGCCCAATTGGCCTGGATTAGTTAGATTACTATTGGCTAAAAGTAAATCTCCTGGTTTAATTTCACTTAATCTGATCTGTTGATTTGATTGAGGTCAATTCCGTTAATGTTAACCTTAACTGTCTCTGGTAAAGATGATTTCCAAAATTTGATCTCATAAATCGTTTGATTGATCCCAACGGAACGAAATAGATCAACGATTCGTCCCTCAAACCAAGCACCAATATCGGGGTGAAGACAATCAACATGATCACCAATTGAATAGTAATCATCTCTCTCAATTTTGGTATAATCATTGTGCTCATTTACATCACTTGTCACATTTAAATCATCATCTGATGATAATTTGTCCTTTTCACTGTTTTCCTTGTTCTCAGCTGATTTAATTTGATTGTCAACTTTTTGAGTACAAAAGTGAACAATCTCATTAATTTTTATTCCATAATCAAGTAAAGTAAGTGAATCTCGTAACTGTTTTAAGATTAACATTGAAGAGAAAAAAATTAGACATTGAGATCAATTGACACGCTAATTAATCTGATTATCTCGTTTTCTTTCCATTCCCAAACAATTAGACAACAATTAAGAAAATAAACTTACCTCTTTACCATGAAAAAAAAGTCTAATCCGAGAATCATGATCACAATTGAACAATTTGAAACAATCCTTCTTGATGTCACTGATTTTCTGATTAATGGAAACACATTGATATCTAATTGTTGAACAATCAGTAACATTTAAAGACTTTAAATTGATGTACATTATTGGGGCGAAACAATTTAATCAGTTAGTTAGTTTGCAGAGAAGACGATTAATTGGAAGTAACTTTTTCCACTGATGAGTTGATCTCCATTTTTTTAGAACAATTTTCCCGACAACCTTTTACCTTTCACCTCAAAGGACACAAAGGACGAGGAGAGGAGGAGAAGTTATCTAAGGGTAACAACAAAAAAACTCTAAAAATCCAACCGACCCCAAATCTCCCCTTCGACCTCAATTCAAATAACCTATGAGATGCTTACCTTTTTTTTGTCATTCGATTTTTTCAGCATATGGTTTCATCTAAGGTCAAAGGGCTCACACAGAAAAGAGACCAAGTTCAACATTAAATTAGATCCAATTAACTATTGAAACAATTGTCACCTCGATTTTGACGATTCGATGACAATTAGATTTGCATCTTTGTCGCAAGAAAACTTTACCCTGCAGGTATATCATTGAGAATATAATTGGAGATTCGATTTTCTTTTTCAAGTTAATTGTTTTGTTTATTTTTGTTCCATTGAACTATTAATATTTTCTCTGTTAATTAGTAGATTTAATTGATTTTTCTCCTCCAGGTTTAAATCTATTGAGTTTCCTGTTCCTTTGGTGTAAATGTCTCACTTTGTGTTTACATCTCTTCATCATGTGTCTGTTTTATTCCGGCTTTTTTGAAATCTATTTTGTTTTCCTTTCAGTCTTGAGCTCTTCAATCATGTCTCACATTTAATTGTATTTCTACTCAGTTTCTTAATTACATCAAACTAATTGTGACCTTTTCCTTTGTGTCTACGATTACTTTTCATTGACTCTCTTTGTTTCTTCAGCTGTTCTTTGTGTTGCATCTTTAGGTTGTCTTCACTTTCAGGCTCAGTGTTTTCGTTTGGTTCATCTTGGTTTTTGTTGTTTTTCATCGTCCAATTTCAATTGTCATTTTTAAATTTGTTTAATTTACTACATTTTAAGGTATGGGTGACACGAAGATCAACAATTTAAGACCTCATGTGCTTCAGAAAATTGAAAAGTAAGTTGACAATTTTAAGTATCCTTTCACTACTCTTATAGATTTGAGTACATGTGCTTGTTCATTGTTCATTTGAGTTTTTCTTTGACTTTCTTTGTGTTTTGTTTTATTTAATTTTTGTCTTTTTCTTTGTTTCAGAGCGCTGAGTGATATTTCTTATAGAAATGCGATTGAAAATTCAGCTAAATATAATAATCGATTGGTTGTTGATCGGAAAACACGTTTACCTTTTATTGATTCTCAAACTGGTGTAGCTCAACGAGATTGTTACCTTTGGATGCAGAGATGGCAACGGATGCCTGGAACAACCTATGGACAATTGTACACGTACCCAGCCCATAAATGGAAGAAAAGAAGACGAGGTTATCTATTCCGTGAGAATTACTATTCAAGGAGTCAAGCGATTAATGAGAACTCGGGTGACATTCAAGAGATAAGCAAAGGAAATGGTTCCGAAATGATATCAATGAAAAATGATTTGACAACAACAACGAGTACAACCGGAACATCAATGGCCGGAGGAGCGACTGGAGGAGTGACAGGAGGAGGAACAACAACATCAACATCGGAATTGAATCAAAATAGTTCAGATAAATTTGTTGAAAACTCGAAAGATGCTTGGATGTATGCTGAATATGAGGATAGTATTGATTTGATGGAAGAAGATTTTGATGATCCAGTTTCAGATGGAGATGATTATGATGAATACTCAACAAAACGGAAGAAAAGAAGATCACGGCGGAAAAAAGGAGAATCAGGAGAAAACGACAAACCTTATGCTTGTGATCTTTGTGATGCTCGATACAAAACACGACCTGGACTTACTTATCACTTTACTCACATTCATCTAAATGAAGGTGAAAAACGTTCTAAAAACTCAACACCAGTAGATGAAGATGACCACCGACCATCAACTCGTCATAGTAAACAAACAAACGGCTCATCAAATGGGAAATCGCTCGCGCCTCCTAATCCTTATTGTGATTTTTGCCTCGTTGACGAAAACGAGAAAAGTAAAGTTCAAGAAAAAATGATCTCATGTTCTGATTGCGGCCGTTCAGCTCATCCATCCTGTCTTCAATTCACCCCACAAATGATCATCTCTGTGGCTAAATATCGATGGCAGTGCATCGAGTGTAAATCTTGTGGTTTCTGTGGAACCTCAGATAATGATGTAAGTTTCTTATTGCAACTTTTTTTATTAACACCAATTACTTTATATCTTAAATACTAATCGACTTTCATTTCTCTACAGGAGCAACTTTTATTCTGTGATGATTGTGATCGAGGTTATCATATGTACTGCTTAAAGCCGCCGATAAAGGAGCCGCCAGAAGGAACTTGGATCTGTGTTCTTTGTGTCAAATATTGTCAACAACCTAAAAACGAATCTCAAAATGCGAATGAAAAACTCAGCGAAAAAGGGAAAATGCGAGAAAAAGAAGACACCAGGGAATCAGATAATTCGGGAAGGAACAATTTCTCTGGTGAAGATAAAACCAATGATCTGACTAAAGAATCTCAAATGGATGATGACGAAGATGATACTGATGATGATAAAAGTGATTCCATTGAGGAAAAGCTTAAAGTCATCTTCAATCGAGCTTCTAAAAAGTAAACCTTCATCTTCCCCCATTCACCAAGTATCGATGCCAATAAATAATCGCAAATTTTTCATCTTATTCATCATTTACATGGATAATTTATGGAAATATCTTCATGAGCTTCAATTATCTTCTTAATTTTGCCAATAACAGTTATTGATTAATGGGATAATCTTTTTCTAAGATTGTAACTCGAATCAATGAATCAACTGTTGTGATATTCAAGGAAAAACAATGTAACCTAATTAATGTCACTTTCTCTCTTTTATTTTTTTGTAATCTCTCCTTTCTTATATAATTCAGTAGATTAATTTTTCAATCACGTTTCCCAATCAATTGTTAATCGATTAAAGTAATCGTGATTTAAATGTTTCTGTTGTATCGAGTTTATTGATCCAATGAAATAGTTTTCGATGGTCAAAATTGTGACGATTTGTTTGATTGAAGATGGTGTGAATTTAAATGAGATTTGTTACATTTTGATGAATTTATACTGTACAATTTATTTAATTAGATGATTCTAATTAAATTTAAATGATATCTTTCAATTCCCTCATGAATTCTTCATAAGCATCGTCCTTAGTTGGTTGTTGTTGTTGTTTGAATTGTTCATTATATGGATTGGATGTGAAGCTGAAATTTGATTCTTGACCTGTGAAGATTTGGAGAGAGAAAAGAAATTAAATTAGTCGATTGATTGAAGAAATTTAGATTGTAATTAATGTTTAGTTTTGAATACGAACCTTCTGGTTTAATAATTTTCTTCGGATTCTTTTCGTTTCGTCTAATTTTTAATGATGTAGGTGTAAATCTAATTGCGTCCGCACTCAGGTTTCTTAATTGTGGTTTGGCTTCAATTGTTGCTTTATCGGAGACAACATGAGATGGCTTGGATTTATCTTCGCTACGATTTTTATGACTTTGATTTCTGTCCCGTTGATGACCACCTCGAGGTGCGTTGTGACGTTGAGGTCTAGGGTGGGGTGGAGGACCCATTCGAGGAGGTGGATTGTTGGTGGAGGCATATTCGGCCTCATCTGATTGGGTAATAATGGAGGACGAAGTAGTAGAACGGGATGAATAGGAGGAGGAGCGGGTTGAATTTTGGTCGGTGCCATAGTGAAAATAGGAGTGTTCGTGGTGGAGGGTGGAATGGATGAGGTGGAGGTGGATGATGAAGGATTGGTTGACGTAGAGTTAGTAGCTGGTATTGTACTAGATGTGACTGTTGAACTGTTCGAGGGAATCGTTGTTTCTGTTGATTCTTGTGAGGATATTTTTGCCTCTTCTCCGACCGATGAGTCTTCTGGTTCTGAAAGGTTTGATTCTAAGGGTTGATTGTCTTCAGGTGGTGAAGGAGCGTTTTTATCATTTTCAGCGACAGTCTTTTCGACATCTTCTATCTCTTTCAAGAATTCATTGATATCCGCTTCCTTTTCGGTGTCTCCAAAATGAACTTTCTTATCTCTTTCCTGTTCATCATCAGAATCTTCATCGCCAATTTCATCTAAACTTGGCGGTGGACCTGGTGGCAAACCGGGAGGGTTTTTATTTACTACTAGAGAAGCACTTGTTTTCTTAAGAATCGATGAGGGTTCACTTTCGGGCTCCTCTTCCATGTTTTCATCTCCCGATTTTTGTTCAGGAGGCCCTGAAGGCAGTGGAATCTCATCTAGAGCAACTTCTTGAGCTGATTTAACGGATTCAAAAAATTTCATGAGTTTATTTCTTTTCAATTCATAATCAGCTTCCAACCTCTTAAGTTCCAAAAATTTTTCATGATCTTCTTTTACCTGTAAAAAAAAAGAAAACAAAATTTTTAGAGAAAAGAAAACATCAGCTGAGCAAGAAAATGCAATAAAAATCAACTTACATAAAGTCTACACAAACGATCCCATGTTTCTTTCAATTTTCTTCTTTTATCACGTAAAACCTTCTCATTTAGAGGCGGCGGAGAGTCAACATTAAACTCCATTTGGTCAAGACGTTCCATGTCAGCTAAGACTTGATGAGGATCTTTACCTTTAAGAACCGCCGTCCGAACCAACATCCGCTGTTTCTTGTTTTTTTTCAATTCCCTTTTACGAGCTTCTTTACGAGCCTGATCAGTTGGATTCATATATTTACCACTTTTCGTGGTATTAATTGATCTTCGACCCATGACCACAAAACAATAGAAAAACCAAAATTCGAACAACAATTAATTTAATTTAGAAAACAAAAAGACAAGATAAATTCACACAAACATGTTCACCAAAACAAATGAATAAAAAAGATAAACAAAAAAGAATTAACTCTAAACTCGCCGATAGATGGCGACACAAGTTCGGATTCTTTTTTCTTAATCAAATTTAATTTTTTTTCTAAACAATTTAACTTAACTAATCAATCGATTGTTATTTCAAGTCATTGAATTAAATCTAAATGAATGGAAATAATTTCAATTCCTATGAAAATAATCTCAGTTTTCTTTAAAAATCTTTATGTTTTCAAAGTGAAATTTGGTAAATTTGATTTTCTCATTTCCAATGGATTAATTTTCTTGTCCGTTAATCTTTAAGAGTAAAGGTAATTTGTTATTTGGATTGGTTGGTTAATCGTTTCAATGGATCAAAATAAAAAAATGATGGAAATGGAAGTGCATCTCCATAAAGGTAAACAATGTTTACAGAAATTGTCTGTCCATTGATGAGTCAACTGAGAGAGTAAAGTGGTTACTCTCAAGTGGGGTTGGGCTCGAGTTTCCGGTGAATTTGATTGCGATAGAATCAAGAAATAAGATAGTAAGTGAGAGAGGGAGAGAAAACAAAATAAGAGAAAGTTGTATAATCTTAGACGAGAAGAGAAAAGTAAGAAACAAGATTTGTGAGACAGAAAAGAAGATGATGAAGAAGAAAAAGAAGAAGAAGGTTGGGAAGTAATAGAAAAGAAAGAAAGAAAGAAAGAAGAGAGAGAGAGAGAGAGAAAAGAAGAAAAATAAAATGATAGAGAGAAAAGTAAGAAGATGATAGGGAGCATTATGAGTGTAGGGATGAAGATAGATGATGATAGTTGGGTGGAAATGAAGAGAAGAGTTGAAATGAACAGTTGATCTCCTTGAGTTTGATTCTGTTAAATTGTTATCAGAACAAGATGAAGATGATTAGAGTTAGAGTGAGAAAAAGATTATAAGAGAAAAGAGAGTGAGAGAGCTTAATTGTGAATGAAGTTGCAAGTTAATTGTGAGATGGTCTTTCAATTAGAGGAAAGTATTAGCTTATAACTGAAGAGAAAAAGAAGAAAAAAAAACTGTTCCATCTTCAATTGATTCTTATGTATATTAACCATTAGAAGTTTCGAAAAAGTTGCTCCAACTATCGATTTGTTTCACATCGAATTTATTTATTTACCTTTTTCTTTTCGTGTTTAAGTTAATCAACAGAAAAGAAAAGTAACATTTTACTATTTTCGATTAATATTAAATGTTCCCCGTTAATTGGATTACTTTTTCATCGCCAAATCTCAATATTTACCTTTGATTACAAAGAAATTAACTTAATCATCATCATGGAAACTCTGTATTCCTCTTGGAATCCAGGTGAACAATATCACCTAACAACCTTATCGAAAGGTGATAGTGTTGGAATATCATCTTCTTCTTTATCATCATCATCTCCATCCTCATCTTCATCTTCATCCTCATCACCTTCATCTTCATCAACTACTATTGCTGCTCTAATGGCGGCTACAAGTTACCTTGTTGGTTGTGACACTCCACCGACTCCAGTGACTTGTGATTCGGGAATATTTAATAACCATAATAACAGTACCAATAGTAACATGTTTTACTCACCCACTCTTGACCCTTCACTATCAACAACAACAACACCAATGGTCAACATCACGATGACCCATGAAAATAATGAAAACATGGTTGTCGTTAACTATGATGATTATCACCAAACAATCAGTTATAATGATGTTGTACCAAGTGATTATTACAATTGTAATAATAATAACGATAGTGATTTGACCAATGGTCAATCATCGTCATTTCTAAGTCATCATACAAATTATTCAATTCCAACCTCAATGGAAAGTCCAGCAAATACATCATACTCATCACCTTCACCTTCACCTGACCTTTGGGAAAATTACGGTTTAACTGATAATGTTAAACACCTCAATCAACACTGTAATTTAGATCAACAATTAAATCTACAACAGCAAACAAACCATCATGATCATAATCCTCACCACCATCACCATCATCAACATCAACATGATCACAATCAACAAAATCATCATTCAATTGCAACAAATTACCACAATCAACACTCAGCTCAACATCAACAACAAATTCAACACCAAAACAATTTAGATGATAATAAAAGCAATACCTATACAATTAATGATAATGTAATTACCACCGCCAACAACAATCATAATAATAATTCAACCATTAACACAATCAACAACAATCATAATAAAGACATTAGTGTTAAAGCCAAAAACACAATTAATCCTATAAACAAATCAACTAATTACCGAGCATCTTATAAGATTAAAAAATCACAAATCGATACAAATTTAATCAAGGTAAGGTGATCAACGTTTAATTGATTAAAGTTTTTTTTGTTTATTTGTAAATCGTAGATGAGTTAACAGGATTGAACAGTTAATAATAGACAAGATTAGTTAGAGTTTAATCAATTAATTAGCAAGTAATTTAATTTGAAATCTATCCACTAATTATCAATTTTAGCGAGAAAACTTTTAATTTTGTTCCGCTTTTCATTCAATCAAATTTGATTTAATCTTTTCTCGATTATTTCCCATAGACCGAATCAAATACTAATCATATTAATGAAAATCATTTAAATAATCAGCCGAAGGCATCAACAGGTAACCAAAGGAATCACCATCATCGATCAATTGAAAGTAGAGGCGGCGGATCTTTCGATAAGTATCTCAGTCCGGAAGATGAGGATCGACGTCGACGTCGACGGGAACGTAACAAAGTGGCCGCAACGAAATGTCGCAACAAGAAGAAAGTCCATGTATACAAATTGTGCCAAGAATCGCAAACATTGGAATCAACTAATTACAATTTAAAAGAAGAGATGGAAAATTTAAAACGAGAGGAGCAACGATTAAATGATATTCTAGTTAAACATTTACCTTTTTGTGTTCGACGAACACTCCAACCAATTAGTGATACAATTAACATGTAAAAATCAACGGAAAGAAATTAATTGTTGCCATAATTGTAATTTTTATCTATTCAACAATCAAATTGATTGTTCCAAGTTAATTGATAATCTGTTTCCATGTAAATCTGTTGATACTAATTTTTGTTTCATTCACAATCATGTAATTGTGAACATCAACTCAATCATGTTGAACGTTTTTTTTTGTCCAACAATTAACAAATCAATCGAAATGGTTTGTTTGTTTGTTTGTATATGTTTCCAATAGAAGTTAATTGTTTCTTCAAACTTAATTGGTGAAGATTAATTTTCATCGGGAAAATTAACTTTTCTTATAATTTAGTTGATTAGTTAATTGGTGTTGGATAATGAAAAGATTCCTGAGGAAACCAAACTAATCAGCTAATTGTTGATAAACTTTGGAAACATTTAATTTTCCATGACAATCATTTCTGACCATGTTAATTAGAAACCATTTTAAATAATTAACTATTCAAGGTAAATACATAGTATTTAACTGAACAGCAATTAGTTTGATTATGTTAAATTTTAATCCATTTAATGGCAACAATCAAGATTGAAAAGTGTAAAATGATCAACAAATCATCGGGAAAAAAAGTAACATAACAATTACTGTTTATCTTCAATAGTTAATTATATTGATAATTTCGAGTCAAATCAATTGAATTAACCTTGATTAACTGATCAGGCTAATTGTTGGTCAGTAATCACAAAGTTTTTTCATCATAATATCAATTACAATTTAAACTTCTGTTTCCATAACAATAGATTGAGTTGATAATGATAATTATATTTTCTGGTTCCGAAATTTAATTTAACCTTGATTAACGATGAGAAATTAAATTAAATAGACAAGAAAATTTTTTAATCATCCAAAAAAAATGAACAATTTAACCTTCTAGTTAAATATTAACAATATTTTCGCGGTCAATCATCAAAATTAAATCAATTAAATTATAATCTTAATGTTTACACAATCAAAACATTTACCCAGTAATTAATCACAACTAAATAGCAATTAATCAAAGTGATAACCTTTTATAATTAATTGTTAATTTGTTTCTCACACTTAATGTGTGACAATTACGTTGATTGTTACACTTACAATATCATTGAAGTTTACTAATCATAGCTAATTATTGATGATATTTACTTTGGAAATGATTATGATTTAAAAAAAAGTTAATTTACTTTTCCACAATTAATTAATTAATTAATACAAACAAGCAAAAAGTGATTTATATTATAAATTAATATGTTTCTAATTGGAAAGGTAAACAATTAACAATATTGGTTAACCTTCAAAACGAGAAGATAATCAAATGAAGAAGCGTAACAATTAACAGTAAATTAAATTGATTCGCCTACATTATCAATAATAATCATCAATTAGATTATGAAATAATTAATATTAGTTAAATCACTCGTTTAGTTCAATCAATAAAGTTAATTTGATTCCTTTTTATTTAACCAATTCCAATATAATCAGCAAATTGTTACGTGTCCATGAGGAGTAAATATTGATTAATGATTTAGTGATTGTAGTTATAATTAATAGTAATGTATTTAACTAATCAACTTTCAATGTTGATCAGTTCAACTACGTGATTTTCATGCTGAGAATTGAGAAAACAAGTAAAAGCTAAATGAATTGAAAATCATCATTCTAATCATGATAATCAAGCAACAATCAACCAATTGAATTTGAAATTATCATTTTTTTCACCAAAAAAAAAGTTATTCACTTTAAGTGGTTAATTGTGAATCTTTTCAATTGGTAAATTCAATCAAACACCTTAATCATTTCAACATTTAATCATGAAAATGGTAAAAGAGGAAAGAAAAAGTTTAATTACAATTAACATTATGATACGATTATGACCATGATTAACGAAACCCGTCCAACCAAAAAATCGCCAAACAATTTAAACTAAATTAAATTGTAATTGTAAAGTTGTTTACTTGATTGTTTCTTCAAATTGAATAATAATAATGAGAATGTGATTGCTGTCAGGTTAATTATTATTACTTTTCTTAAATTGTTTTCCATTCACTAATCTCTTTACCTGGATTAACATTAAATCTCAATAAATTGTTGCTTTCTAAACTTTTACATGTTTCTCTTAATTGTTGTAAATAATTAAAATCTCTTAATCTTTGGTTGACTCAATTTGTTTCAACTCATTCTCTAATTAAATGTTGGTGTGTAGTAAGTGAGTGGATGTTTAATTGTGAATGAGTGAGTGTATATTCATTATTGGATATTAGATGTACATTGAAATAATAATGAGGTAAATACCTGATCATGATTGTGATGATGATGATGATCAATTTGATTGACAGTTTACATTTTGTTTTTCTTTACAACTCAAAGTCACATGAGAATATAAAAAAAAATCAATTCTTAACCATTATGATGACATTAAATTGAGACCTTTGTTTACTAGGTTATCATAGTGATCATTAATTTCATTGATTAACCAAATTACCTTGTTGTTGTTGGTAAGGGAGATTGAAAAAGAGTCTAAATTGTCAATCAAATGTGAATTAAATGATGATAATTTACCTGGACACAAAAGATATTTCAATTATTCTTGTACAGGTAATCATCATTAAAATGTCAGCTTGATGATTGTGGTTAACAATTAAAGATCACAATTTAATGGAACCACCCGAATACAGAAAAGATTGTAAATCTTAACCAAGGTAAAAGATATTGAAGAAACAGGAAGAATCCAAGAGATTTTTCTTAATTATCATCAACAATTAAGCTTAACTTTCAACAATGGGACAAATACAATTCTAATTTACGGATGATTAATATAAAAAAAAAGAGTTAATTGTAGTTGATTAAGTGGATTAAATTGATTATACGGCTTTCAATTAATCGTTGGTTTGATCCGCTCATCTAACGATCGGAGAAAAGGGTTAATCTTTTTTACTGACTAATTGTTTCGTTCAATTTTTCTAATTAAATTGATATTTGACTAGAATTAATTGTTTTCCATTGATAATTGTTCAATTTTTCAATCATCTTGTTAATCTTTCACCAATCTATTCAATGGAATATTGAAATTAATTTGATTATCTTTCGGTCATTTCTAATATTTTGTTCATTTCGATGATTTTGTTTTCCCTGTAAATCCAATTATTAAACTTTTCTATTGCATCTAATTGTTTGTTGTGTTAATTACACTTCAATCTTAATCGTGATTACTTCCTTCTGGTCTTGATTTACCTTCAAAAAAGTGATTAACAATTAACCAATCCCTATGTGTATGAATATACAGGTAAGACAATGAAAAAGAGGAAAAATAAAATTTATTAGTAATCATAATTCATTACAACAACAACACATAATAATTAATTAATTATTTCAATACTAAACATTGAACACACCCGAAAGTGGGTCTTGGCGGGTGGCCTTATTAGTACACATTGATGGTAAAGTATCGAAACAATTAAAGTACAACAATTAAGAAACAACAACGTCACAATTAAACAACAACAACGCCATTGGGTTGATCTGATTGCCGTTTTTAATTTGGTTCATCAACAGTTAGTTGATTTGTTTTTAATTGATTTTCACATGGAGATGATAATTTAACAATTATATAAAAGATTTACGTAAATTAAGGTTCTAACAATTAACAGAATTGAAAAGGTGAGAAGAATAATTAATAATAATGACTAATTAATTTAATCTAAATTGTTCATTTTCCATGTCAACAGGTCTCCATAAATTACTTTCACCTTCAAAATGAAAAACAATTGATCAATCATAAGATTAATGAAATAAATTGTCAATCAATTTGTGAGAAAACAACAACAGTTAATTTGAATACAATTAAAGAAAACAATTGAATATTGATTAACTTAATCACATTACATTTCCAATATAATAATATTGGAGAAATAAAAAAAATAACAACAATTTAAAAGGTATGAAGGTCTCAGGGATTGTTTTGTTATTAAATTGTTTGAAAGTTAATCAGGTAAATCCCGTTGGTGAATAACAACAATTAAGGATAAATATTGAAATCGCTACTTTATCATTAAAAGTTGATCATTGATTGAAGTAGATGATGATTATCATCTCTCTGTGATCCTCAACAATTGGGAGATTGATGATAAATGGCTTTCACAATTAAGATGGACCCTTAATCCTGTTAAACTAATCATATTAATCTGTGTGGCAATTACAAGGTGTGTGGTTATCACGATATGTATATTATTTTAAGGTCAACTTGATGTTGGCGGAATCAAGATGAAAACAATCACCATGGGGTTTCCTGTCAAGGATTGACAGGCCAAACTGAGGCCACTTTTAATTCATCATTATAATCATCATCATCATCATCATCATCAACATAATGATTACTATTATCATCTTTGATTCATTTCTCATGGTTATCGAGATTGAACTTTTTTTTTCCTCTTCTAACTTATGAAAATGTATTGAAAACTTTTTTTTCTCATTGTTAAAGTTACGATTTTGTGTTAATTGTGTTTGGATGGTTTCGTTTTTGTTAATAATACTAAATTGTTGCTCAAAATCACTGAATTAACAAAATCCAACAAATCATTAGTGTTAATCACTTTGATGGGTGCAAATCAAAGCTAAACAATAGAGGGTTGAGTGTGTAAATTTGCTGTAACAATTAACTAATTTTATTTGTACAACAACAAAAGTTTAAGGGCGAGAATATATTTTTTCCCATTTGGACAATTAATAGTCAATAATTTAGGAATTAAATTAAATTGTTCAAATAAAAGAAATCATTTAGTTACACTTTAATTGAGATATTAATCTAATGTATGTTAATTGTATTACATTTTTTTGTTGAACAATTAAAGTTTCGTTAACTATATAAACTTAAATTTGATTATATAGGTTTCATTGATTATTATAATTAACATTATACTAATTGAATTGAATTTAACTTGATTAATAAACACTGTCCTTCTTGTATCATGTTGATGATTAACTTTCATGATAATCTTTCTGGTGATGAGGCAACAATCAAATCAAAATGATTTGTAATCAGAACGTTATTCAAGAAGAGGAGGTGATTTAATAATAAGGTGTAACTATTAAAATAAACTGATTATTTGATTGTGATGATTAAAATAGGAGCCTCATTGGGTAATAAAGAGGATCAAC